GTTTGTGTGTGTCTGGTGTGTGTGGTGTGTGTTGTGGTGTCGTGGATGTTTTCTTTGGCTTCGAGATCGTCCAAGGGAGGAGAGGCTCGTTGGCTGTTTTGTGTTGCGGTATCGTTTTGCAAGAGGTATGATTTTTTTCCGAGGATGGCTGGGCCGAGTTGTTCTCGCTTGTGAGAGTACAACTTGTGTGTGTGCGTGCGTGCTGTCGTCAACTTATATGGCAGGTGGGAAGATCTGTTCAGGGTTTACGAATAAGAGGGAGGAGGCGGGAAGAAGCAGAAGAAAACAGGCAACAAACAGTGGAAAGAAAGGAGAGAAGCGGGATAGCCAAGTGGCACGTACGTTTCGAAATACTTTATTTATTTTATTTATTTTTGGACCGATTTTATTTTTTTAAGCCTTCTTTTGCGTCATCCCAACCATTTTCCATTTTCCCTGTGATCGCCTCTGCCTTGCCGCGAACAAGTCTGACGCCGCGGCCTTCTAGGTGGCGTGAGATGCGGGGGGAAGTGGTGCGCTCGCGACGACGCCAGCCTCGACGCCATGCAGCCAGGGCCCCTCCAGACCCCGAGCGGATGGCCTGACAATTGTTGCCTGGGCACTTCAAAAACGTATGGTTTCTCGCTCGCTAAAGCGTGGGCTTGCCGCCTTGGGTTTTGTGATTAATCTACTACAACGTAGCACTACCGCCCGCGATAGGCAGTGAGTGAGTGAGTGAGTGTGTGTGCGTGGTTCTGGCGTTGCGGATACGAGTACAAACAAGCCAAGGTGGCGGAGGTTGGGGAATTATCATGATATTTCAACTTGCATCTGCGAAACGAAAGGAACCTCCTAGAGTGCCTTGCGTTTCCGCTGCAACCCGGAATTAGAAAATAGGTTTTATGAAACATGATACCCCATCCCAGCTCCCTGCGTGCAACTCCTAATCCCCCATCCATCCCATCCATCCCATGACGCCGGGCATGATAATCTGTACAGAATAAGAATAATGAAAAGAGTAATACAGTAATGTGGTTATACTTGGCTTGCTTGAGAGAAAAGGAAAGAAAAAGGATAAACAGGACGCCCTAATACAACAGTTGTTCGATACAATGGGCGCACATCACCACCACCGACCAAACCCAGTCAACCACTCCTCAATCCGCAATCGCATTCTCATCTGCCGCCCGCGCCGCCTCCCGCAGCGTCTTCTCCTGCTCGCTCGGCACCGTGCGGTTCGCCAGCGCCTTCTTCTGCGACTCCACGAACCGCTCCCACTGCGCGCCGTCCGGGTCGCTCGCCTTCATCGTCGTCAGCAGCGACTCGCGGTTGTCCTTGTACGCCTGGATCACGCCCTTGGCCTGCACCTCGGCCCAGAAGTCGCCGCCCACGTCCTCGGCCAGCTCCGTCAGCATCCGCACGTGCCGCGGGTCCGCGCCAATGTCGTCAATCGACGCCACCAGGTCCCTCATCTGCATCTGCGACACCATGCCCACCCGGAACCGGTGGCCCGCCCGGTGCACCCGCCCCTCCTCTTCCGCAAGCACCTTGGACAACGTCGAGTTGCTCCGCGACAGCCGCGACCCGCGAATCTCGCCTTCGTCTTCACCGTCCGAGACCACCGTCTCCTCCGCCCGGGCCCGTTCGTTGACCGACTCGGCCGACGGGCTTCTGGTGCGCTTCGGGTCCGTATTGCTGAGCTCCGATGTCTCTCGCGTGTCCGGATACTCGTCTTCGAATCGGTTGATGATGCCCTGCAGTGTTTCGTCAAGGAACGTGAGCTTTCTCAGCGTCATTTCGTCGCCTGGGTTTGCCTTGGCCTTGATAAGGGCAGGCTGTAAGCGCAGTCGAATCTTGCGCGCTCCCGCAAGCAGATGCTTGGACATATCCTTTGCCTTGCCACCCGTGGCCAGCCTGCGGCTTGCAAGCGACGCATCAGTCGCTTCCGCGTCCCGACTGAACTCGCCAGACTGACGCTGCGACTCGTCTCCGCGATTCTCAAGACAGCACTTGAGGGCTTTAACAACGCCAGTGCCCCCGATAACGTAGTCTTCATCAGGGGCCGAGCTGTTGTCTTCTTCGTCGCTTTCTTGCATAACGTCGTGGCCTACAAGATGCATAATGACGTCGGAATAGCCAGCCGGCTTAGAGTCATCAGCCTCGTTACTCTCCGACAGTGTGGCCGCCATGGCAGCGCCGATGCCCGTATCCGGAATTGCCTCCATGTTGCGTAGACAGTAAGCGACAACCTGCTTCGCCATCGCCTTGACGATTTCACCAGCCTCGTCATGAGGAACGTCAATATCAATGGCAACGATTGTCTTGGAGACTCGCGCGGCCGCCATGAGCGAAGCATAGAGCGCGCATGCTTCCTCTTGAGCCTCTTCACTCTTTGCGTGGGCCAGCTTGACGAGCTCCTCGTTCTCCAGTAGGTTGATATGCGCTAGCTGTTGAATTTCTGGAAGGACCTCAACCAACGCAATAGCTTGCTCCGAGTTCATGCTGACATCAGACAAGTGAATTCGTTTTAACCCAGTGCATTTAGGCAGGTATCTGTTGTGGATTAGCCTGTTGATCGAGTCAAATGGTTGAGGACGCTTACCGTCTCAAGAGACCGACGGCACTAGGCCGCGACTGAAACAATTCCTTATTGTGAGATAGATCGACAAATCGGATATCGGGCATGTTGGCAAGGACCGGTAGAATCTTCGAGAGAGAAGACGGTCCCAGTTCACAGCCTGCTAAGCTGAGAGCCCAGAGACCGACGTTCGCCTTCAGCGCCGACGCGAGTTTCTCCTCGTGACCTCGGAGATCATTCCCAGCCAGATCAAGGCCTTCGCAAATGCCTGAAGAAATGTATCTCGTCACATGACTGATGCCTTGCTCATCCAGGTGATTATGTGCCAGCCCGAGACGCTTCACCTTGCAGTTCAACATGCCGTCGAGGATGACACCGAGCTGTTCCATGCTGGGTTCCGTCTCGCCAATGTTGATCATCTCCAAAGTCGGCCCGCCAAGCCGGTCCCCGATGGAAGTGGCGAAAATGTCGGCAATGCTGCGGGGGATGTGTTGGCCATTGGGCAGCGTGGCGCCGACTTGGGACACGGCCTGGCGCGGAAAGGCTATGTGGGAAATGTCGAGACTCTTGATAGATTTGCAGAGATAGATGAACAAGGACAGGTGTTTCCATCCATCCGGCCCAATTTTATTGTTCTTCAAGACCAGACGCTCGACGATGCCGCCTTGGACTTCTTGTTCGTGCTTCGGCTTTTTGCGGCTGAAGGTGGGTGGTTTGGCGGCTAAGAGACCGGCCAAGACGACACGCAGACCCTCATCCGTGAGACCAATGTTCTCAAGCAAAACTTCTCGAACCGGGACAACGGCAAGATAGTCGCCGAGAGTCACTAGGTCAGCCAGCTGCAGCCAGTAACCCGTCAAATCTAGCTTGCTGACAACCCCGTGAGAGAGGTTGGTCGGATCTGTGAGCTGCTCTGTAATCTTTTTCAAGATGGGTGTCTCTCGAAGCTGGCAGCATCTTCGATAGATTCTGGCGGGGTTGGTAGTCGGCAGAGAGCTCGTTACAATTGTGCCAGAGGCCCCTGAATCGGACGAATCTGGGCTATCGTAATGGATTTCGACGGGAATAGAGCCGCTGTCTTCCGCCAGCTTCCTGCGCTTTTCTTTTCGCGCTTTCCGCTCCTCTTCACTGCGCTTCTTTTTCTCTTTCTTCTTAGACATTTCCTTCTCTCCTACAGCAGTATCCGGTTCCGGACTGTCATTTGCATCCGGCGTGTTGCTCGGCAGTTTCTGGAATGCATCGGCAGGGCCATTTGCGTGACCGTTGGTCTTAGCCTCTGCCACAGGTTCTGGCTTGCCGTCGTCAAAATTTTCTTCCTTCATAACAGCGCTGTCGCTTTTCAGAGCTTCACCTTCGCCCTTTTCGGTGAGTTTCTTTTTCGTGCTCTTGTCGATTGGTTGTGTAGCGACTTCACCATTTGCGTACTTAGGCATTGGTGCAATTTCCACGTCGACACAAAACGCAACGCGGCGTAGCTTGGCCGCCTTCAGTTCACTTATGTTACACCGCTCTCTGTTCTTATCCTTGTTGAGAACGGTGCGTTCAACAAGACCGTGCGCCAGACGATTGGTGGTTGCGCCATTGGCCGATGAGGATGACGAGAGGCGACGAAATACATTCAGGATGCCGGCCTGGCCAGATTTGGGCGGCGCAGGTGTATAAGGACCGCTGCCCTCCGGCTTTGCGCCGTGTTGAAGGACAGCATTTCTGGAGGGCGATATTTTCGGTACAGGAGGCTCCGATGCTTGTGGTGAGGTAGGTCCCTGGTCTTCGTGTGATGTAGTGCGATACGGCAGATTTGAGTTATGAGGTGACGTCTGCTCTGTTGGCGATTGTGGGCTGTTAGTGGCAGGGGATGAGCCCGAGAATTTGGCGGAAATATTGGAAAACCATGTGTTGCGACGTCCGGGCGGCGTGCCATTGGGACCAGCGGGTTGCTTATCGACTGAACTGGATCGCGAGAGCCTTTTTGTAAGGCTGGAACCGCCGTTGAGAGGTGTGCTGGGCTGGACATTAGCCTCGGCCCCAGACTTGGAGTCTTTTCTCTGATGCGACGGCGTGCCGTTTGAAGGTGTTGGTATTTGGCGCGGCTGTGTGGTATTCGCTTTGGGGGGCGAGGAGGATTTATTAAGTTTATCTATCGTGAAGCGGTTAGCAAGAGTGTCGCAAGAAGCAATCCAGTAGCAATAGCCAAGTCGCAATGTCAGATATCGCGTTGACAGCAACCGAAGCTGGGGAACGGAGAGGAGGCTGTCAACATGCCTTTGGAGGACCCTGGAGTCATCCAGCTGACATCGACGCCATGAACCTGCTCCATGACGCCCGGGGAGCGGCGAGCAGAGCTCGTGTGTGAATAACAGCAGGGTGACGACAATTAGCGCCTTGAGGCCGTCGCAACGCTGACCGGATTTGTTATTGTCCCATGAACAAACAGGATGTAGGTCGAGGCAACTTGGTGAGCGATGACGGAAGAGGGGGGGCTGGCTAAGGAAGGCGAGTCGAGTCGAGCGAGCGATGTTGTTGACGTCTTTGAGCCCACAAACAGTCGGATGACACGAGAGTCGCAGGGAGCAGACTGTCGACGTAGCACACTGCGTTGTATCCCACAAAGCCAACAGCAAAGAGTTGTTTCTACCTTGTACGAAGGAGGGAAGGTTGGTGCACGTAGAAAAGAAATCGCGGGGAGTAAGGTTCGTAGAGTGGTGGCAAAGCTGGGGGATGCGCGCTGTAAGTTGAACTTTGACTCGGGAGTTTAGTGGATTTAGTTAGCTTTTAGTTGCGGTAGCCACAGCCCATCATTGACATTTTGGTTGCTGCAGTGGTAATGAATGCCCAGTTATTGGGTTCTGCTAGGCCACTTGAGGAAGCCCACATCCGGCCTTGCCAGGCTTCCACTGCATGCCTGGTTGGAGTGGCAGAGACCCCTAGAGTGGCTACCTGCAGATGCACTATGTACACTACGGAGTTATGCTCTTCAGTGCCGCGGGTCGTTTTAGCCAGTCCTGATACCTCTGTAGATGTAGATGCAGCTCGTGAGTGTTTGAGTGAGCCCAATTCGTTTATGCAGCCGCGAAGCTTGTCAGACTCAATATCAGTAGTTGGCACCAAAAAGATGAACCTCGTTCTCGTCCAGTTGACCAGCTGCTTGCCCCAAGCACTGTTTGCTCTCTCATCAGCAATGTCTGAGGTTTGGACAGCCCGCGCCCAAGTACTCCGTATCCTGCTGTCGGTGTCTCAACTCGGAAATCCTCAATCCCTCCCGCGCAACATTTGTGGTGGTTTAATAATGCAGTTTGCTGGTTCAGGTGGTGCTATTATCCTGGCGCAAAATGCTGACAAAACCCACGCAAAGCAGCCACCAAGTTCTAGACCTGCTGCAACAGCAAGTCTGCACCGACTCGGCCCGTTGAAGATTTGGACCAATCTAGGCGAGGCACACCAGCCTCAGCACTTGTTGCCATCCTCAATGCGCTCCTCTCGTTTGCATATCGACGGAACGACCTCGAGAAACCTAGATTAACCCCATCATTTTAGAGACCATCCACACACCCATCGATAAGGTGGCTTCGAGATGGATTTCGTAATAAATGCCGCCATTGGAATCAGCCGCGAATGTTTGTCGGGCCAAGTGGGCTCTTTCGCTCCGAAAGTATCCCTCTACACGTGACTCGGACCGCGGGCAGAAATTTGGTGTGAATCATCGCCAACCGATATCGATATTTTCAGAAAGGCGCGCGTTTGTCTCTTATTTCGCTCAGGAACCAACAAAGCCCACGCTGTGACACTGCAACTCCCATCGTAGGCATCATGCCCATCACAGTCATTTTAGGCTCCCAATGGGGTATGTATCTGGTCCTCGCCTCCTAACCCCCGCTTACTTCGCTTTCACTCGAGACAAGGGCGTCGCTGTCTCGCTCTCAAAAATATGACCTCGCGCTAACTGGATTTGGTGTTGCAGGAGATGAAGGCGTACGTCTTGTGTCAAGTATCTAATGCGACGAACTTGATTGTTAACGATTTTCTTTTAAATAGAAAGGAAAACTCACCGACATCCTGGCCCCCGAGGCACAACTCTGTGCCCGAGCTGCTGTAGGTGGTGGCGGCGCATCATGAAAGAAAGACCGACTGCTGATTTCTTGAATAGGGCGGTCATAATGCAGGTCATTCGATTGTGTAAGCCGCATTTTTTTTCAGTTATCTTGAAAAATCAATTGGCTAACTTTTGTTGACAGAGCGAACGGTGTCTCGTACAGGTGAGCAGAGTTGAACAACGGCCTCTTTGGCAGACACTCATATCGTAATAGCTTCCACTTGCTTCCGTCTGGTCTCATTAACCCCAATTGGTATGAAGACAATTCTCGCCGTCAAATCCAGGGGTCAGCAAACTAACACGTCACACAGCATCAACTTCATCGGCTCTGGTGTCGTCTTTCACGTGTAAGTCATGTCAGAGGTCCCGTATCATGACTCCTTATCCTTCACGTCGCGCCGGATCAGCCGCTGACTTTGCTTTCAGACCGAGTTTCTTTAAGGAACTGCAACAGCTCGAGGAGAAGGGCCTCACCACCGTTCATGACCGAATTTTCGTATCTGACCGGGTCCACATCGATTTGGACCTACACGTCGCCGCTGATGGACTCGAGGAGGCGGAACTCGGAGGTTTGTCCAATTATCTTGGAAATATCAACGAAAGCATGAATTAATGTCGTCAAGCAAACAGAATTGGCACCACATTGAAAGGCATTGGTACGACGTACAGCGCCAAGGCTGCGGTAAGGCGCATTGTCTCTCCTTCATGATCAACCTGCTAAGATTTTGGTAGCGCCGTGGAATTAGACTGGCTGAGGTCTTCCACCCCGAGCTCTTTGAGACCAAGCTCCGAAGATTGGCCAATGGTTACCGCCAGCGTTACGGCGACCTCTTTGTCTACGATGTGGAGGAGGAGCTCGCTCGTTTCAAGGAGTACCGAGAGAAGCTGGCCAAGTACACCGTCGACGGCGTGACCTTTATGCGGTCAGCGCAGGAGTCGAACAAAAACATCGTGGTCGAGGGCGCCAACGCGCTGATGCTCGACATCGACTACGGGTCTTACCCGTTCGTCACCTCGTCCAACACCACCCTGGCCGGCATCCTGGGCGGCCTCGCGCTGAACCCCAAGAACGTGACGGACATCATCGGCGTCGTCAAGGCGTACACCACGCGCGTCGGTCAGGGCGCCTTCAAGACGGAGGAGACGGGCGAGGTCGGCAACAAGTTACAGGAGATTGGCCGCGAGTGGGGCACCACGACCGGCCGCCGGCGCCGGTGCGGGTGGCTCGACCTCGTCGTGGTCAATTACAGCACGGCCATCAACTTCTACACGGCGCTCAACCTCACCAAGCTCGACGTCCTGGACACGTTCGAGACGATCAAGGTCGCCGTCGCGTACAAGGTGGACGGCCAGGAGCTCAAGTCGTACCCGGCGGACCTGGACATCCTGGACCGCGCCGAGGTCGTCTACCACGAGATGCCCGGCTGGCAGGAGCCGACGACCAATGCGAAGACCTTTGAGGAGCTTCCGGCCCGCGCCAGGGAGTACGTCGAGTACATTGAGAAGTACGTGGGCGTCAAGGTGCGATGGATCGGCACCGGCCCGGACCGCGAGGCCATGATCACGCGCGATTAAAGGGATGGAAACTTTGTTTTTTTTAGAGAGGATTGGTTGTTCGAGACAAAAACGAGGCAGGTAAACGCAGTCATGGCTAATTTGTCTTTATTTGGACCATAGAGCTAGAGTAAATCCGCTTCAGGAACAACATCCTGAACCGTTTTCGGTCATTCGTAATCGTGTATGCGTTTCAAGGGAAGAGGTAAATCATAAGGTGCAGTTGTGCATTTGAAGAGGAGCGGAAGACGGGAAGTGGCACGCAAGTTCTTCATCAGCGCAGCGCCACGCTTGCAATCACATCGGCGATGTAACATTTGGCTGTCATTTGGATTCAATCGTTACAGGAGGACTCAATCACATTGGTGCATTCAAGACGAGAAGGGTTGAAAAAAAATCATGGAAAGCGTCGTGGTATTTTTGTATTCATCACTGCCTCCTGAAAACTCCAAACCAAGCATTACCAGAAAGTCACATGTATGGCTACTCCTTTTTGTATCCCTTACTCCTGCTGGAGGAGCTGAGCAATCTTCTTCTGCACGTTGGCCTGCTTCTCGGCCTTGGTGAGGCGCTTGTTCTTGTACTTGAGGGAGATGGCCTTCCACTCCTCCTTGGACTTCTTGGGGCCGGCGCCCTCGGCCTTCTTGAAGGGGTCCTCGCGGATGGCCTTGTGGGCCTCGGAGTAGAGCTCCTCGAGGGACTCGGCCTCGATGTCGTCCTCGATGTACTTGACGAACTGGGAGCGGTAGCGCTCCTCGTCGTCGTCGGCGAGGGTCTCCATGTACTCGGCGACGTGACCGCCGTAGATGTAGTTGCGGAGGGTGTCGGCGTCGAGCTCCTTGGTCTCCATGTCGTAGCCGGGGAAGCGCTTCTCCGAGTGGGGCACGAGGATGCCACCGTCGGAGGCGCCCTTGAGGGCGCCGAAGACGCGCGCGCCGGTCGAGGTGCGGGCCAGGCCGACGTCGAGGAAGGCCTTGAAGGGGCGGCGCTCGCCGTCATCCGTCTCGGCGGCCTCGGTGAGCGTGAACTCGCCGTCGGCCTCCTCGACACCGACAAAGTCCTCGTCGAGGCCGAGCTTCTTGAGCGCGCGGCGAGCGATCAGCAGGCCGGTGGCGTAGGCGGCAGCCCAGTTGGTCAGGCCGTGCTCGATGCCGTAGGCCTTGAGCTCGTGCGCGTAGGCAGCGCAGAAGACCTTGTCGCCGGAGATCTCAGAGGTCACCAGCTGCATGATGATGTCCTTGTTGGTGAAGCGGACGACCAGGCGGTACTTGGGAGCATTGTACTTGTTCTTGGCCTGGGTGATAAGGCGCTTGCGGGCGTAGTAGTCGGTCTTGCCTTGACGACGGCGCTTGAACTTCGTCTGGTAGCGGCTGGGAGAAAAGTTAGCACTGGGGATCGCGAGATGCGCTGTTCATCATTGGGCGAGGGAGAAGAAAAAAAGACATACCTGTAGTAGGCGCTGCTCTTAACCAACTTGTTGAAGGCCTAGTGTTCGTTCCCCCCGAGTCAGCAATTTGCGCTTCAGATTTGCTCGTCCTCCTTCCGAAGCAACTTGCGGCGACTCTTTTACATCGAGCAAAGACATGGGCGATTGGCGTTTCTGCCACGCAGCCATGGTAGAATAAACGAAAACCGCAGGTTCACAAAAGGGTTGTGAACCCAGGAGATAGGCCTTAACTTACCATTTTGACGGTATTGGTGGTCAAACAATGGACTGTTGTCTGGTAGTTGTGGATGGGAGTTCGTGACGGGAAACGCAGCCAGCAAAATTCTGGTGGGGGATAACTTCAAAGCCCTAAGCGAATGCACCCTGGCCAATTGTGCGACCCACTGTGCGAAACCGTGGTTGGTGACGAGGTAGGCTAATCTTTTTTCGCCTGGGTCACGTGCAAAATGATTATGTAATTCTCCAAATATGGGTCGCCGGGGTTCGACACGGCCGGACCTCCGGTGGATTCGGCAGGAATGGGGCACTGCCGAGGCAAGCTGAGCTCTTGCCGGGGTAGCTCCGCAGGCGTCCTACTCAGCTGGATTCATATATCACAGCTACATCGTTGACGAATTGCCTCATAAATCTTGTTAGGACAGCGTAACGAGAATCTTGATCGTCATGTCTGACTTTGGCGAAGAGCCGCCCGCAGACCTCATCCTCGAGGCAATTGACGGTGAACTGTATGGCCCCAAGCAGCCCAAGGTCATTCTGTTCGACATTGGCGGTGTTTGTGTGAGTTGCTGCTCCAGCTCGACTATTTGCGGCCTCGCCGTGGTTCCTAATTCCTCGCTCTAGGTTGTCTCCCCCTTTCAGGCAATCCTGGACCATGAATTGAGTCTCGGCATTCCCCCGGGATGGATCAATTATTCCATTTCCAAGTCAGCTCCCAACGGTTTCTGGCACCGCCTCGAGCGAGGCGACATTGCCATGGACGCGGCTTTTTTCCAAGGGTTTAATGGCGACTTGCACCAACAGACGCTGTGGGACGCCTTCTACAAGCGGGAAAAGGCAAAGAATCCCAAGTTGGAGGATGTGACTCCTCCATTGCCGAAACTTGACGGTGAATGGCTTTTTAACGAAATGATGTCTTCATCAACAAAACACGATCCCTGGATGTTTCCCGCCTTGCAAGCGCTCAAGGCCAATAATAAATATATCATCGGTGCACTCAGCAACACCGTCATCTTCCCGCCGGGGCACAAGCTTCACCAGCCCGACTTCTTCACCGGCCCGCTCAAGGGACTCTTCGATGTGTTCGTCTCATCCGCGCACGTCGGTCACCGCAAGCCGGAGCCCAGCATCTACCAACTCGCCGCGAAGAGGCTGGACGAGTTTGCCAAGAGCAATGCCAGCTCACCGCGGAATCGCAGTCTGGGGTGGGAGTCTGGCGTCCAGCCGACGGAGATTCTGTTCCTGGATGACATTGGGGAGAACCTCAAGGCCGCTAAGAATGAGGGCTTCCACACGATAAAGGTAAACCTAGGCAGAGCCTACGAGGCCGTGGACGAACTGGAGAAGATTACAGGGCTGGACCTGGAGGGAGACCACCCGAAAATCCCAATCAAGCCCAGGTTCACACGCGGAAAGGCTTCGAAGATATAGATGTCGGCAGTGAGATTCTGTTCAATCTCCACTTGCATCCATCTCAAATCTTAGCAAGCTAGTTGTTCTTTTGCATCACGCCCTTTTCTCAGCAATATACACGTATAGGCTCTCGCACACCCTGACCTTGTTGTCCACCGCCATTTTGTTCCATTCTTCTATGAATAACGGCTTTGTCTTGTCGTAGAAGTCAGGCGGCACCAACTTATTTTCTACCGCTGTTTGCACAACCTTTTCGAATTGGCTCTCGAGCTGCCCTGCGTCGAGAAGCTTGACGTCCTTACCAGATCGCTTCTCGAGCACGGTCGCGGTCTTGACATCAAAGCCCTGCGACTCCAAAACTGCCCGAAATGAGTCTATCGAGCGGATCCAAGAGCGATCCGACGCGAACTTGATCCCTAATTTCTTGCAGATGTTTTCGATGATGGTTCCTTCCGGGATGCTCTGCTCGCCGGGGATGTCGATCACGAGGCGCCCGTTGGGCTTGAGATACTCTGCCCAGTGTGCGATGGTCGCATCCCTGTCCTCGAGAAGCACGAACGCGTTGGAGCATACGATCAGGTCAAAGGGGCGCTTCTCCAGAGCTGAGCAAGACTCCAGGTCCGTGATGTCATGTTGGATAAGCCGTACGCGGCGATGTAACGAAGGATGCGCGTCCAGTTTGCGCTGAGCAACTTGGAGCATGGCTTTGGTGGCATCGATGCCGATAATGGCACCGTCATCGGCGATGGTTGGGGCGGCGTGGAATATCTCGAGTCCAGTGCCGCAAGCCAGCGACAGGATTCTGTCGCGCGGATGCACGCCAACGAGGTCCATCAACCTCCGCGTGTAGTCCGGGTGCCAGGAATCATCGTAGTCGGCAGCACGCGGCTCGTACATGGCGATTGCGACTTCATACTGGCTTTTATCCGCCCGATCGCCAGCTTTCGCGAAGTACGCGTAGGTGGACATGGTGATTGTGCAGGGGAATCCGCCTACCCTATAGGTGCGACCGCGACCGTCGGGCTCGCCAGCGAGATGTGGCCGGCTCGAATCAGAGGAGGGAGTGAAGATATTTAAGCATTATACACTTGAGACTAATTTGTGTTGATCAACATAGTTATCCGTGAGTCACTCGGTAGTCGTCGTGTCGTGTAGCTTCGTATTGTGCGGGGTGATTTGTATGATGCTTGGATAGGGATGGCGCCTCACAGAGCTGAACACCCTGGGCCTTAAATACCCAGTCTGCCAGCGTGTCGGCATGCGACAGATCCAATTCCAAAGCGAGACGAGCCGGATGGTTGAAACTCAACCCTATTTCAAGATGGATGATTTTCTTCACAGTGACATCTCTACCGCCCGTCTGTTGCTGAGGCCGCTTGTTAGGGCTCCTGAAGAGGACCCCATTGCCTTGGAGAGATTCCACACGCTCTGGAGCAACGAGCAAGCTACGAAATGGAGGTCCGTTTATCGATTTCTCGAGTTGCATGGGTTGACAACTGACGTGATTTCAGTCTACGGGGTCCATCCCATACTCTGGAGGCGAGCAAGGACTGGATGGCAGGCACCATTCCCCTGCCAATGCCGACCAATAGAATCCGGATCGCATACTTGGTACTCTACGCCGACGACGACGAGGGGTTCGTCCACCCCACCAAGATTGACGAGAAGCACTGGAAGATGGCGGGCGTCATCACATTGCTGGCCAGCAACTTCACCCTGGAGGGCGAGGTCGACGCCGGCGGGCCTCGCGGACCCGAGGACCCGTTCAGGGCCGTGGAGCTCGGCTACCTGTTCATGCCCGAGGTCTGGGGCAAGGGAGTCGCGACGGAGAGCGTCCGGGGCGTGGTGGACGCGTATCGGCGGGACGTGGAACCGGCGCGCCGACCGCTGTGCCCGCGAGAGGTGCAGGCCAACGTGCACGTATTGAACGGGGCGAGTCGGCGGGTGCTGGAGAAGGTGGGCTTCACGGAGGTTGGCCGGTTCGAGGACATGAGGGCTTGTCTTCCGTTGGTCGAGGGTCACCCGGAGGCGCGCACGATCTTGCACTTCCGGATGGTGGGTTGAAGATAGAGGAGCGCGTCGATCGAGGTTGGTGCCGGAGATGGTAGCATCTTGGCGCCAATCTAGCAAGGTTGTTGGGCATCTCATTACTCCAGAATGCATGCGAAGAAGACCTTTGATTGTGTTAGCAGGGTGCACGAGCTCAGACGGCGCGTTCTCTTGTCAATTTGCCAGTCAACCATCCGTAAGTAGTTGGCCAAGTCAATAAAGCGAATTCCGTGATGTGATTGATGTATTTGGGTTTGTGGTGTCGCCATGCTATTTCCGCGGAGTTACAGGTCCAGCGATAGGCCTCAGGGCCCCTGCGCCAAGCACTTATTATTGCATATCAAGTGCGGATTATTGCATGGCATTTTTATCAGAGGAGATTGCAGTACAGAATACGGAGTACTGATGGTAACGTGCCATTCGCAAGCACCAGGAATTCAGATGAACGAAGTCAATACAGAGAGCCTTGTTGAACACCCCTCAGTGAGTGGTGCCAAGCCGCTTCTTTGCCATGTCTGCTCTGTCTATCTGATGACGTTCAATGGCATGCAGAACAAGACAGGCAAGGGAAGGGACTGAATAGGAGACAAGACGGATACAAGAAACGTTTCGTCAACCCGACTACAAAAGGCTCGGTCCATCAACCCCGAAATCTGACCTTGGGAAATCCCTCCACCACCGACGCCATCCGCTCGCCCTTCCCTTCCTCCAGCCCTTACCTTCCTGCCCCCCCCCCACTGCACTGGCTCGGGCTGGACAGGGCTTCTGACGTATCTACGGCCATCACTGCAGCATCCGGTGTTTCGTCCCCTCCGTGGCGTCGGCGGAACCAGGATCACCTCGCGCGAGTGGGTTTGCCTACGATCGGCCTTGTCGCTTGTTGACCTTTGTCGGTGAAGGACCGAGGATAAGACAGCTGAGTCTCGTCATCCCTTGCCGATGGCGTTTATTTTTATTCATTTTTTCTTTTTCGTTTTTTTTTTGCTTCCGGTGTCGCTACCAAATAAGAAAAAAAAGAGCCCAAGTTCCGGCCCGCTGAGCGGCAAAAGTGAGACAGTCTATACATAGTAGCTACGTATGCCAGCAACAGCTCAGAAATCACACGGGCTGCTATTGTCGGCCAATTGCAGCACGGCTCTCGCAATGGCCCGAGAGCGACCGAGCCTCCTCTCCTCTCTCCTCTCCTCTCCTCTCCTACCTAGCCTTGTCCCGCCAGGACGGCGCCGTCCCGTGTTAGTGCTTCGTCCTGGTTCAGCATGTCTAACCACTGAGCGTTCGGGTTACATTCTATCTACCACCAGTATGAACTAGCAGAAATCGTGGTTGCACTGTATTACATACATGTCATGCCTCTCTCTGGTCCTGTTGCAAGACAAGTTCCGATCATGTGGGCTGACCCAATACACCTCTTCTCGGCCTGCCTCAGCCTTTCTTGTAGAGTTGGCTGTCTTGCTCCTATCCACATCGCTACGAGTAGCAGATAGATTTCGAGGCTTCAGCAGCAGCAGGGGAACAGACACAGATCGCCTGTTCTTTATGCGGCTCCCAAGGCTGCAGCCCATTCTCTGCTGACCGGTAACACGCCGTGCCTTGCCCGACTGGCTGCCCGATCCAGCCGCCCTTCCATATTATCAATCTCGCCCACCCACCCACCTATTTACCTACCGATTCTCCACCGCCCGTTGCCGCCGCCGCCGCCGATTTATTAGAAAAAGTCAGGGGAGATTGCAAGAGGATTCCGACCTGTAACCTCTTTCCCTCTCCTGCGTTGTTCCCTCTCGCCTCGCGCAAACATACTTCAGCAGAGGGGTGACTATGGACAGCTGGTTATAGGCAGGAAGGAATCGAACTCGAAGCCTCTCACTTCTTCCACCTCTTGCCCACACCTTTGATTTTCTTCAATCCCCGGCGGGCATCATGGCGGCGACGCAGCCAGCAGCAGTACCCGATCATGCGGCCGCCGAAGCCGCCTTTCGCAAATTCACAACCGAGCTGTGGACGCTGTACGCCGTCGGCCTGTCGTCGACCATGCTGCGGACGTACGCGCGCATACGAGCAGTTGGTGTCCGCGGCCTGCGACCGGACGACTATTTCGTCTGGGTCGGTGTTGTATGTGACGAAATTGTGTTGCCGGGTAAGGATGATATCAGGAAACTGACTTGTGTGAGCAGCTCTTTTACACTGCGCAGACAACACTCGGGTACAATGTGGGCCATGCAGCACACGGCCTGGCCAACAATGGCATGACTGAGACGCAGCGCGCGAGCCTGGATCCGAATAGTGACGAATACATGAGACGGTAAATGAGCTTTCCGTCCTTCTTTTTTTCTTGATTCGTATATACTGACAATACCACAGAGTGGTTGGATCCAAGATCCAGGTGGCAGGCTGGTCGACGTATGTTTGTCTCATGACGGGCCTGAAGATATCCATGCTCTTCTTCCTCGCTAGGCTCATGTTTGGTCTGGGACGCTCATTTCAGCTTCGAATCTTTGTTGGCTTCATCCTCGTCATCGCTACATTCATCGCCTGCATCGTCAGCATTTTTGTATCGTGCCGCCCGTTGCAACACTACTGGGCCATCTACCCCAATCCGGGCAGTAAGTACAGTCCCACGAACCCATGGCATTTCCCATCGGAAACGGCCTCTGATACTTTCACTCTAGGGTCATGCCAAGCCGCGATTTCACTACCTATTATCTGGTCAACATTTGCAACCAATGTCTGTACAGACATCTATCTCATCATGATACCCCTTCCCATACTGTGGCAGTCCTCGCTCCCGCTGTCCAAGAAGATTGCCTCGACCGTTGTGCTAGGCGCGGGAATATTCGTCCTCGTCTGCGCGACCTTGAAGAGCGCCTTTGTCCTAGCAGTACGTCTCTCATCCACCGTATCCGTCTTGTCTCTATCCATTCTAACCTCCACAGGATCCCGTCAACGGCGCCCAGCTGGCCGGGTCGTGGGGCACCCGCGAGGCCTTTGTCGCCGTCATCACCACCAACCTCCCCATGATCTTCCCGCTCGTCAAGCGCTGGCTGCGCCCGTTATTGCCGAAGCAGCTGTCCGCCTCGCAGAAGCTGGAGAAGTCGCCCACGGGCTTCCGCACCATCGGCGGCGGCGGGCCGGGCGTCGGCGCCGAGGCGCGGCGCAAACCGGCGAGCGCCAACGCGCTCACCGACTTTACTACCTATAATGCGTCGGAGGAGCACGTGGCGGCGGAGATAAAGAAGGAGCAGCAGCAGCACCGGGCTATGGTTCATTTGGAGGAGATGACTGATCTGGAGGCGAGCGCGGGCGGTCATGGCCATTCGCCCGTACTGGATGCGGGCGACGCGGAGCACGAAGAGTGGACGCAGTTTCAGCGCGTCGCGAGGGATTAGCTTTGACAAGAAAATGAAGCTGCGCTGCCATTCTACGACGGGATGAGGCCATTACATGCCAATAGGCACCTGTTTATTTCAAAGGAAATTTCAGTTTCGTGCTGCAGTTTAGTATGATACCACGGGAAGGCGTCTTGGAATTTTGGTCAAATACACAACATATACAACATACACACTATACACTCTTGCTATGCTGGAAATCGTTCACGATTACGAGAACCCGTGTCTCTTGAACCCTTTTTATCTTGAAGGGGCGATGTGCTTTGAACCCCAGACTACTCGGGCGGCTGCTGGTTTGCGTTGCTCATCTGTACATCGTCAAAGTTCCACGCCGAGCCCTCCAAGAGCCCGACAAACCAGCGCGGGCCCGCGTTCCTCGAGAGCCGGTACCACGGCCGTCCCAGCAGCGTCTCCTCCACATACATGGGCTCCGACGGCTCCAGCGTGGTAGCCGCGGGGCCCGCTCCCCCCGCGGCGGCGGCCTCGTCCATCTGCCGCAGCCGGTTCTCGTACCACGCCTTGATGTACGCCGTCTTCTGCGAGGACCCCGCGTAGCGGCCCGGCTCGGCCATCTCCTCGGGCGTGACGCCGAGCACGCGCGTCTCGCGCACGAAGTGCTCCGCGTTGACCCGCCGCCGCTCCTCGGCCACCTCGAGCCGGCCGACGATCTTGGCCAGGTAGCCGGCGAAGTCGAGCGCGCGGCGCGCGGCGGCGGCGTCCCAGCCGGGCGCGTCAACGACGAGCAGCCGCGAGCAGATGACCATGACGAAGCCCGTCTGGCCCGGCGCGGCGAGCGCCTGGAAGCGCGCGCTGGTGGCCGGCACGCTGGTGACCGTGTCGAGGAAGGCGCCGGCGGCCAGCAGGCAGTTTTGCAGCGCCGTGGCGCGGTAGTGGTGCTGGTGCTGCTGGCTGTCGCCGCCGGGGGCGCCGCTGTCGGGCATGTCGCCGAGGTACGTGGCCGGCTCGTACAGGCGCACGAGGAGGTACTGGCGGGTGAGCTCAAAGTAGCGCGCGAAGTGGTCGATCTGGTCGGGCGAGCAGTGCGGCATGCGCTTGGTCAGCTCCGCGTACGAGAGCGACTCGAGGACGGCGTCGAGCTCGGCGCGCAGCGTGGTGACGTTCTCGTCGACGAGGAAGAGGAAGGGCCGCCCGCGCGCGGTGTCGTTGGCCGAGCCGAAGAACTCGGAGATGCGGTCCTCGATCTGCATCAGGCGCACGACCTGCTGCAGAAGGAAGTCGGACGGGTACTCGCCGGCCTGGCTGAGGGCATCGGCGCAGAAGTCGACGTACTGGCAGCGCATGGTCGTGTTGCGGCCGAACTGGCTCGAGTTTCTGAAGCTGTCAATTGAGGGAAGCTGAGGATGATGGGAAGGACGGTGCGTACATTGATAACAGGTAATAAACACCGAGGAAAGCTCGCATCTCATCCGACGATGGCGCTTTGGGTACGTTGATGTCTTTTGCTGCTCTTACGTCATCTGGGGCGTTGTCCATTCCTATTTGCTTCAGCAACTCGCGCGGTATCTTGGTAATACCCAAGTTGTGAGCGTAGCCTGTTGCCAGATAAGTAAGATTTGTAATCTGCTGGTCGTACAAGCTTTGCAAATCCGCCCTGTTGCTGTTAGTCCCCGACTAGATGCCGCAGATGAAAAGCACGAATGCGCGTACCATGCGATGACAATAAGCAGTCCCTGAAGGACGTCCAGACTTCGCTCCTCCTCGACGAGCATATGCTGGCTAATGTACGCAATGACGTTGCGCTTCATCTTCTTCAGCCTCGCGACCGGCAACGGGGCGGAGGAGAGCATCACCGCTCGAAACAGGCAGGGCTTGGACTCGCACAGCTCCTGCGCCGTCATGTGGCCGGGGATCCACACAAAGGGGAAGTTGTAGAGGCAGGTGTCCCTGTAGATTGCCAGTATCCTCTCCGCTTGAGGCCAGGTGAGGCCTAAGGGCGGCAACGGCGGTGCCTGCGGAGACGGCCAGCCGCTGCTGCTGGTCGAGCCCTGGCGCGGAGGGGCTGCCGGCGACGGCCCCGGCGGAGCGGAGGCAGAATTGGCCGGGGAGGATATCGGGGGGAGCACAGGGCTCTGTGTATGTGACTGACTTGCCGTTTGGGCTCTCTGTGTATGTGACTGACTTGCCGTTTGGGCTGCTGGCGCTTGGCCCAGACTGGATGAGCTGCCACCAATGGCTAAGCTACGCGAGGTGAGGGCATTTTGCGTCTCAATTGCCGTCGTCAAGGCATCCAGCCGCTCTTCCAGCGACGCGACACGGCTACACACGGTGTTAGTCTCGCCTCTGCGGCGGCGACTGTTGAGAGGGATGAGGTTACTTATTGAGTGGTTTTACAAGCCGAGGTTTCCGTAGACTTTTGGTGGTTTTTGCAGTACACCTGATCCCGATTCTCTCGCATCTACAATTTGCTCGTCAGCCGTTTTGGCATTTATAACATCACCACGTCCAAGTCCACGTACCTTTCGCAGACCGCATCGTCGGCGCCGGCGTCGGTGTCAGTGAAATTACAGCGCGCCTTGGCATTCGTGCATGGAATGCAAGCTCTGCGCCTGCGCGGCGGGCTTGTCGACCGCTCGGGTGGCGTAAGACCCTGCATCGCACGGTACGTGATTCCCGCCCAGCTGCTCTATGCAACTGTCGCGTAATAGGAAGCCCCCGAGTACTTTGCGATCGATGGCGGCTTCGACGGGTTAGACGGTCTGGTGTTCCTAAGCCGGTTTTGCGGGGGTGAGATGATGGTAGGGGGAGAGCAAGCGCGGAGGGGAAAGCATGGAGTCCATGGGGATATAAGCAATGACGACTTGCCCAACACGGATTTGGATGCCTTTTCGCAAGCCATTGGCCGTTGTGGTCGGATGGTCGGATGCGATGATCCCAACGGGTTAGCGCTACGGCGAGCGAGTTGGATGCGGGATAAACGCTACTCAGGCTCCGTGCGCGATTGTGCGTGCTAGTTAAGTAGCTACTAGCAATTCGTCTGACCTGCATCAGCAGCACGAACTCATGAAGATATCAGACCTCGCTGTGGAGTCTTGTCGTAGCATCCTATTACATGCAGGCCACAGTGGCATGTTTCTTGCATCACGCACCTCATATGTACATAGTTGAGTGACCGGTGCCCGAATGTGCTTCTTGAACTGCTAATCGTCTAAAATCTCAATGACTTCTGGTGGATGCGGAGGTTGTCGTGGTGCTCCTGGCTGCGATGAAGCCTCCTCAAGTTTTTCCTGCTGAGGCCGCCAATCGCCATTCTCACTGATCGCAATAGTCCTTATTTCGGCGTGACCCCCTTCGAGAAGCTGCTCCAAGACTTGAGAGAAGTAGTCGCAAATGCGTAGTTGATTCGGCCTCACATCGCCATGACAGATCGGGCAGGCCCAGCAGTCCACCAGGCAGGGCTCGGGTTGTGATGAACCAGGTTTGCCTGGACGAGAGTGCAGGAATTTTTCGAGATCAAAACAGTCAATGTGTTTGCAGTTGACGCCGCGGACCGCAAGAGTACACACTTTTGAGCTGATAGGGTCACAGACTGAGATGTTCAAGGTACTACTAATCACGGAAATCTCGTTGTTGTCCGGCTGCCGATTAAATTGCCTGATTCTGTCTCTCGTCATCTCGGCAGAAATGTGAGGATTGCCGTTGATAGTCCTCCACACCGAAGAATACCTTTGGACAGTGACTTGCTCAACTGCAATAAAATAGTCGTAACCTCTCTCGCTATTAGCGAGGAAGGGTAGGCTAACGCGGAGCTTATTCGGCCCAGGCCTGACTCGAGCGGAAATATCAGCCGGTAAATCTGTATGAAAGTGTTGTTTGCGACTCAAGAGGCATGCCTCATCATTCACCGTCAAGTGTAATTCTTCGGGCCAAAACACCCTGGCTTCCACCCACTTGGATTCACTCATTACAGAATCCCCCGACGGAAATCGACAGACACGCACTCTGTATCGAAGACTGTTGTCTTCAAACCTCACAATTGGCAGGCTGCAGACGTTGAAGTCGACTTGCGGCACCGGTAGCTTTATAAAGTGTTCTCCCGTCAAGGAGAATTCGATCTCTGTCAATGGGTAGACCACATCTAACTTGGTCGGCTGACTAACGATGTTGTCAACATGTTGGAAGTATTTGGTGGGCTCTAAGATACGAGGCAATCGCTTGGGGCTACGCTGCAGCGCCAAATGTAGCCCGACTCGAAGAGATGGCAAGCCGTGGGCACTCTGTGGATATTCTGCCTCAGGTATCCGTCTAGAAATATTGACGGTATTTGGATCTAAGCGCGCAGCTAGATTCTCAGCTGGCCCCGTGTTTTGAGGCTGCTGAGCCATGAATATTGGTGCCTCTCCAGGCTGACTCGGTATTGTAACAGGAAGTGCCTGATGGACGGTTGGCAGGCTAGTATTGGCGGACGGGCCTGACAATTGAGAGGGCTGGTTCTGCATGGACGGAAGAATCGCGTTTCGAGGAAAGCCCGAAGGAGTCGTGGTCATCGAAACTTGACAGTGCTGGATCTGATTTCTTCCTTGCGCGGCTTGTCCTCGAGCTGCGGGAGCGTAGTATTAGCAAAAGTTATGTAGCACCAATTCACAATTAACTTGCCCATGACTGTCATTTGGGAGTGATGATTCCTGAGTAGATTAGTGTATTGGGCAGCCACGGTATCCCTATGTCGTTTGACATGGTCTGCGGGGCGCGGGTTGGACAGATTGCCGAACTCAAAGCTCTGATCGCGAGAAAAGATCTCAGAAAAGCGATTTGCGATAAGGCCATCCTGACAGCCTAACAATCGGTGAGATATGGTGAAGAGGAGGTTGTGCACGAGACCCCACGGACATCGCAGTGCATCCCGCATTTCGTATGCGAGAAAGGGGAACTTCCGCTCCACGATGCATTGGGCGGCCCTGTGCCATTGTTTGGAAAATGAAAAGATAAAATTGCTGAGCTGCCTGGAAAGTTCCGCTAGTATTGGGGGAGGGAGAAGATGGTCAAATGTTGGGGCGGGAATTTTGCAAAAGAAGTCAAGCTCTGCTGGTGAAAGCAGACTGTTTGGATGGAGCAAGACCTGGAGAGCATCAAAGCCCTGGTTGACGACATCAGGCGAAGCGAACTGACGGAGGAGGTGGTGGGTGGCGGCACGATTGTGTGACCAAGTGCAGAATCCGTGATGCATGAAAATGTAGAAGATATCTTGCTTCTCGCAGGCTGCTTTTAACATGTAGAGACGCTGATTATAGGTGCTGGTAGGCGCAGTTGTCATGGCCTCCCCTAACCTGCGACTCCAAGCCGAAAACGCCCTGCTGCCATCCGTCGAAACGCTACCGTCGGTGTGGAATAGAAAGCTCGTTGGCTGCATGGCGAGTGGAATTTCCATGACGGCTTGGTGCTGTTGGGGAGCGGGATATGTCTTCACGGCGCCAGGGAAGGGCTGTTCAGTAGACGGCGAGAAGTGCGGTTGGTTCGGATGCATTTTGACGAAGCTATGAAGGCGTCTAGGAGAAGGCGAGGGACCATTTTCGGATGGTGATGAAGGAAAATTCCCGACATGCTGGTAGAAAAGTGACGAGCCGTGAAAACGGTCGCAGGCAGGCCAGCAAACAGCCGCATCAGCCGCTCACTCTTTTTCGGTACTGCACACCAGAATGGGGGCCTGAGAAACACGCTTCACACAAATTTTAGCAAATTCATTTCAAGTGCTCATCGGATTTTTTGCCGACTGAGCTTTCTGGGATTTTTGTACGTTTCGAGGAGCATTTTTGCCCACGCTGACCAGGACAGCGTTGGTGCGCACTGTTGAAGCGATTGGGCATCGTCTCGATTTTGGCCAGGCATAAAAAGAATAGATCACGGACTAAACCATGGTAATACAAATGCCTGCCGGTTGAGCCGACGCGGAAAGTGTTTTGGGCGAGGTTTCGGTACTGCGGAAGCCAATCTAGGTACTCCGTATATCAGCAGCGGCCACGGATTATGCATAGGTGGTATCTAATTCATATGACAAGAAATGTAGCAAATAAAAGCAAGTGCCGACATGAGCCTGATGCTTGGTATTTGTTGTGAATATCGGATTAAATCACACAAATACCACAAGATGCCACACGACAAACACGCCATACGCCAGAGCCAACCAAGGACGAGCGAAGATCGAAGCCGTTGGCGCAAACGATCGTCGCCCGTCGACTAGGCTGTTATAAGGGCATGGTAGAGTAGCACCAGCACCCGAGATGAAAGGTGGCATGTGGATAGATGGATGTCACAGAATTTTTGAATCGAAATTGCAGATTTTAATAAAGGCTGGCCCCGCAATAGGTAAATAGTACAATGTAGGACGGCATCAAAAGATGCCGATATCATCCAGTAAATCAACAGCAGTTATCCTTTAAATAGATGCCCACCAAGGCACCGAAAATAAGCTATACCTGCCGAGAACAAAGTCTTAGATACTTGGCGGCGATGAGGACTTCCCCGCCTGCCCGCGAGACATCAGACACCAAGGAGGTACCTTTTGTCCCATCTCGCCCAATCTGCATGGTGACATGGGCTGGAAAGATACCTCCTGTGTCACCTCACGCCCACCACAACCCCTGTACCTTACCCTCAAAACAGTCCCGCCACCACTCATCAGTCACGACGAGAGTGACTTTTAACTTGCAGTCGTAGTTCGACCACAATCTCCACCTAACCGCCGTCTTGCTTCTCTCAGTCCCCACCAAAAGCCGCCTCTCCTCAACACCACACCACACTTCCTTCGCTCATCCCATCCGTCCTTCAAGACAGCCATCTCTCGAGACAGCATTCCATCGCACCCTCGTTTATCGCCAACGACCGCTGCCGCTGGCCCCCTCATATCCGCCTTGCTGTGTCGTTTCGAATTTCCTGCGAGCAGCCCCTCCACAACCAGCCACCGACTTGCGCATTGCGCCCGCTTGCTGTGTCGCCCTCTAGCCCTACGTCCTCAGTACCCGCCACCTCGACACTGTATGCCGCCATTGCCAGCCCCAACATCAACAGAGCTCATCGCTGCCCGGCCGCGGCACTCTGGCAGTGCTGAATTTATTTCGATTTAGGACTCCCGCTGCCACCATTGACCATGTCCGGCCCAATCCCGCCCCGAGGCCCCGCCGACGGCCCTCGCCCAGAGGTTGGCGACACCCTCTTTGTGATCCGTATGTCCTCATTGCGATGGCCCAGGCGGGCCTGTGACACCTCTCTCTCGCTCACAGCTGTATAGATGACTTCCATGCTCGGAGCTCAGATGAGCTCAGTCTCGGGAAAGGCGACAGAGTCGAGCTGATTGAGCGCGATGACGAATTCGGCGATGGCTGGTTCCTTGGCCGACACCTGCTCAATGGCAACACTGGACTATTCCCTGAAGGTTCGCCTCCTCGAGCCAAGTTCTTGGTTCAAACTAACCGTCTTCAGTATATACGCGTCCAGCTCCGAAGAATATACCCGGGCCCTCACCCGCTGCGCCCGCCGAAGCGCCGACCCATCCCACCGCTACCGCTGGCTCTCCAGCTCCGCCTACGCCGACGACGAGTACTGCAAATGATACACCCGCGCCTTCAAGTACCAAAGAACCTGATGCCGCTTCTATTTCTCTCTCAATTCCCACCTTGTCCGAAGTTTCACTCCCTCAAAGCGCACCAAGCCAAACAGGCGATGCCTCGCCCGCTGTGCCTACAACCGGCCTGTCTCCTCAGCAATCGTCTGGCCACGATAGTCGCGTCCTTTCTGACACTCTTAATGTCATTGATGAACACATCACGCGCTTGAGGTCTCCTATCAGTACTGGCAGCAACTTACGAAACCACGCGAATGACTCTGGCTCCGAATACAGCGCTCCAATCGACCATCGCATGTCATACATTCGTGGTGAAGAAACAGATGAAGAGGAGGATGTTTCCCACACGAAACAAGAGGTACAAGCCTGGTCTGCGGACCAGGTTGCTGAGTATTTGTTCGAGGCCGGCGTCGAAAAGCAGCATTGCGAAGTCTTTCGTGACCAGGAAATTAGCGGCGAGGTCTTGCTAGGCATGGACCAGAGCTCTCTTTTTATCAAGGCATTCGATCTTGGTTCCGTTGGTCGCAGACTCAAGACCTGGCATAAGATAAAGGCTCTCCAAGACGAAGTGGCGAACAACGACGCTTCCGTCAAGCGACCACGATATGGCAGCGACGCCGGTTCCGAGGGGACAAGAAATCGCAGGAGTCGTACCAACACGGTCACGACCTCCGGCTCTAACAGACCATCGTCCATTTCAACTAGACATCTTGCCCAGGCCCCCAAGGTTTCTCCTACTACCCAGGTGACGCCTGCCTCGCCGCAAAGGATGGCCGATAGCCGACCAGGTCACGCAAAACGGCCTTCAGCTGCTTCCATCCGAGAACTGCACCACTCCAGACGACACTCGTCGACAGACTTCCGGATTGCGCCCGCCGCTGCGCCCTCACCGGCTCTACCACCCCTAACCCCGGTAGAGGGCCACAGAAAGCAACCATCGTTTGACCGTAATTGGACCCTTGGCAACGCCTTTGCGCAACCCGGTGCTCGGCCGATGTCATCCGCTGGCTTACATGATTTGATCCCATCCGAAAAAGCTCAAGACTCAGCGGTCGACCTCGACAGGGGATACTTTTCTGGCACTGATGCGGAGGGCAGGCGGCGAAACGTGCTTAAGAAGCGCGAGAGCACTGCCCACTCCCGGCAATCCAGCTATGCAGAAGAGCAGAGGATTCGTAGCGCTACTGCACTCTCTAGGCATTCTCGCTTTGGTAGTGTTGATTCTTATCGCGATGGGCCGTCTACTGCTGCTCAGAAGTACTACGGCATTCAGCCGGCCGTGCATGGCAGAAGCATATCGACAAACACTACCGAATCTTTTCGACCTCTACCCCCACTGAAAGATAATGTTCCACCGCCTGTTACAAAACTGGACTCGAATCGTGCACAGCCCGCACCCAAGCAGCAAGGATTTAACTCAGATTGGCTAGCAAATGTTGTGAGCCGCCCGGGTCAAAAACAAAGTCGCAATGGCATGCGCGCCATTTCCGAAAAGCTCACCTTGGAGCGCCGGGCATCGCCATCCGATACCTCTGCCAAAGATAGTGCATCGTTTTCGCCTGCGACTGGGCAGAGTACTCCTTCTGTCGCGCCAAGCCTGGAGAAAGATTCACCTGACGTCACCAGCCAGAACAACAGCGCAGCTACTGCACCAATCAAGGGCAAGAAGAAGGGCAAAAAGGGGACGAGTGCGTACACGCGAGGGCTATTAAAGATCGGACCCACCGAGGCCAAGGAAGGTGCAGAGTATTTCGGCTGGATGAGGAAGAAGAGTTCACATCTCATGACAACTTGGAAGCCACGATTTTTCGTATTGAAGGGACGCCGACTGTCATACTATTACTCAGAAGACGATACGGAAGAAAAGGGCCTCATCGACATTTCCTTTCACCGTGTACTACCCGCCGACAATGACCGACTAACCGGACTCCACGCCACCATTGCCAACGCCGTCGGCGGACCATCGATTCCCAACTCATCCCTGTCCCCAGACATGGAAAAGTCTAACGAGCCCGTCTTCATTTTCAAGTTGGTGCCTCCGCGCGCGGGCCTCTCACGGGCCGTCAACTTCACCAAGCCCATGGTGCACTATTTTGCGGTCCCCAACGTCGGGCAGGGCCGGCTCTGGATGGCGGCCATGATGAAAGCTACGATTGACCGCGACGACGCGGCACCCATCACCACGACGTACCAGCAAAAGACCATCTCGCTCACCAAGGCCAAGCAGATGCGCCACCGCCCACCCGCTCTCATGAACCTCGACGAGATGGCCGACGAGGAGAAGAGGGCAGAAGGCCCCGCCGCCGCCGCCGCCGCCTCGGGTGGCCACAACAGTCTCGGCATCTTTGCGGAGACGGACAGCGGCGTCTCGGGCCTTGATAAGGCCAGGCTCAATGGCGTCCTGTCGGCCGCCGATAATGATACGATGCCGCAGAGCGCATAGGCTGCGCTGTGCTGCCGGGGCCAAACCTTGCGACGCGGCAAGAAGGTTCTTGATGACGGTATGACTGTTTTATATACGGCGCGAAATGCAAGAGCGTAACTAGAAAAGTGAGCGAGCTTTACTGCGTGGGACGAACGAGGAAAGAAATGATGCTGCCGGGGTATCACGCTTTGTTTTCATATTTTTCTTTCTTCTTCTTCTTTGCTCTGGGTCTCTCTTTTGCTATCGGTGTCTTGAAATTTCTTGATTTTCTTGTCTCTATATCTCAAATCTTGTTGTTTTCCGTGCTTTCTTTTTCGATTCCCCAGTATATATACGCTTGTCTTTTACAAAGAAGATGTTACGTTTCTGATGGAGATGGGGATTGAGATGAAGGGGAGTTTTATGGACTTAGCGAAGAGAAGACATTTCTATCTCGTTCTTTTATTTCTACCACCTCTGTCAACATTATCCTTTACGCCTTCATGATGGGCATATTAGAGATGAAAAGCACATCCGCTGCACTACCCGAGCAAATGATAGTAAAGCACGCCGCAGCATTCCCCGTTATTCAACATAGAAGAGATATATTCGTAGCTACACTTGTCCCATCAGCCCACGACCCCTCTAAATATACTGCGCTTCGGCTAAGCGCGACTTGGGCAGAGACCCAACCAAACTTGACTGCGATCTCGTCATAACTCCCTCCCGTCTTGACTCGTAAAACGACATTATCAAGGCTGAATAAAGATGGAACTTAAAGCACGCTAACCGTGTAAACCAAAAAAGACCTAAACGCCAGAGAATGCGACCTGTTTGGAGCAAACTCCCTTAATGTAATTGGAGCAAGTTAGCCCAACTTCTGATTCATGCCCAAAAGAAGCTGCCTGATAGACTTCATCAGGTGCTGCTCGACACCTTCAAGGTTCGCGGTCGACTCGCCCTCGCCACCAGGGCGGACTGTGCTGGCCTCAGCAAATCCAAGCACTCGATCAATCGCGGAGAGGGTTACGGCCTCGGCCATTACTTCTCCAAGACGGCCTTTAAGAGTCTTGATGGAAATTTCCTTGAAGCCATTCAGTTGAACAAGAACTTTGGCTTCTAGAATTGGAGGTGGATCACTGGCGGCCGTGCCAGCGCCACCTGGCGTGGGGCTCTTATTCTTCATGAATCCAACAATGAGCTGACCAATACCCTTGATGCAGATGGCCTCCATCTTGTCATTTTCGGTGGCCTCCTTCTTCAGACCAACGCAGCGGTTTAGTGCCGATATGACAATGGCCTCAGCCTGAGGGTTGCGAGCCTTTTTAAGGTTTTCGATGAGCCCGTTTTTGAGGTTCACAACCGCTTGCAGTAATCGTGGGTCGATGACAGGCCGGGTGGGTGTAGGGCTCGCGGAGGAAGCCGCTGCCTTGCCCGCAACAGTGGATTGCGGTTGGGATGTGCTGGCAGGGCCAGGAGATGGCTTGACCGCCACTGGCTGACCGGTAGCGATGGGCTGTGCTGGCGCCTCCATCTTGGCTGGGTTGGCGGGCGGGGGAGGTCGTGCAGCATATGGTGAGCTGTAGGTAGGCTGTGGTAACTCCATCGTTGGTTTTGTTGGCGGCGGTGGAGGACCATGGGCCGTAACCTGCGTGGGTGCCGGTGCCTGAGCCGGGATTGGAGCAGGCAGGTGCTGCGGGTGTTGCTGTGGGTGTTGTTGCGGATGTTGTTGCGGGTGCTGCTGTGGGTGCTGCTGCGGGTGTTGTTGAGGATGTTGTTGAGGATGTTGTTGCGGTTGTTGCTGGTGGTTAGGTTGTTGCTGCGGCTGCTGTTGAGGTTGCGGCTGCTGGTGTAGAGGAGGTGGGTATTGCAAGGGTCGATGTTGGCCTTGACCAAATGGTGGCACTTGATAGCCGGTGGCTTGAGCTTGTCCATAACCAGGGAGGCCAACCATGTGCTGCTGATGGGGATTATATGGATATGAATAGGGACCATACCCTTGGGCAGCCATTGCTCGGTCCGGCGATGAGGCCTTGCGCTTCTTTCCTGCGTCCAACTCGACACCGGGAACGCGCGACCACAAATTGGTCGTCTCGTCCTTTCTGAACGCCTCGTTCCCAATGAGATTGTGGCGGACACTGCTCTCCCAACCTTTCGTTTCGGTATGGAAAAAGAACCATGGGTATCTCTGGCAGATTCTCTTGTATATCTGCTTCAACGTAAGGCCATCTGGACCGGCGGCAGTGAGGGTCTCGTCAATCAATACGCCGTAATTTTTGTTGGGTTTTTGAAGCTGCTCATCGGTGTAGTCCTCGATCTTAAGCTCCAGTGGCGGCGATTTGGGACGAGATTTCTTCTCCTTCTTCTCCCGTGCTCGTCTTTCGGCATCGGAGCCCTCAGCACCATCCTCGCGCGGCTTCCTGGGCTTGTACTTGCGTTTCTCGGGCTGGTCTCCGGCATTCTCGGGAAGAGGATGCTTGCGTGGGCGACCAACCTTGCGCTTAATAGGCTGTTCGATGGGGGGCGGCTGCGGTAGTGTCTTTTTGGCCATCTCTTGCTGCTGCTTCTTGAGCAGACGCTGCTCGCGTTTCGACATAATGCCATTCTTGGGGGGTCTGCCGGGGCCCCTCTTTCTGGGTATTTCTGGCATGAGGAGATTCGGTTGGTCTGCAAAGGCTTCGTTTTTGATTGCCTCTTCACCTTCAACAGCATCCTCCTCGACCATTTCTTCATCACCATCACCATCGCCCTCGCCCTCGCCCTCGCCATCCTCGTTGAGGTCTGACAATTCCGCAGGTGTATCGTCAACGTCTGACAACTCGTCACTAGTATCTTGGATTTGGCCATCGCCATGCGTCTGCTCGAATTCAAAACTCATCTCCTTACCTCCATGGGCCTTCTTCTGTTCTTCCGCGAGATGCTCCTCCGCGCCCGTCTTGCCCTTTTCGACGCCGTTGATGAGGAAGCGAAAATTAACGTCCTTGATCTGTAGCTCGTCACCACATCTTAGTACCACTTTTTCGCTCATGTAATGCACATCCTGGCAGAAGAAGCCGTTTTTATGGAGGGGAATTGCCTCGAAGAAGCCCTTTTCTTGGTTGAAGGCAATTTTGAGATGTTCGCGAGAGATAGCTTTGGTCTTGCTCGCAATTTCTGGACCCGGAGAATGAATGCCGATAAAAGGGACGTCCCAAGGTGAGGGCCGTAGTGAAGTGAGGTCGACGGCGGCTGCCCCGGGAGTGTGTGAGACATATTGGCGATCGGATATGACCTTTTCGGGATTCTCCTCGACTTCTTGCTGAGATGAGCCTGCGGTGCTCGTTTTGCGACGCTTCGCTGGCCGGCCGGCCTCTTCGCCGTCCGATTCGGGGCCAAGCATGCCGCCTTCCTCTGAGACGAATGATTTGCTGAAATGGCTGCGATCTTGAACGATGGGAAGCGGCGGCGCAATGCCCATGCTGGCACACTCGTTGACGCGGAGCATATGCAACAGTGCGCGTTTTTCATCGCGGCGGGCCTGTAGCATAGCACGGTGGTCACGGCCGATAATGACGGCATATGTTGTCATTTGAAAGACGGAATCGGCGAATTCTATTCGCGCAAAGGATTCCAAGCCATTCTCGGCACCAGGCTGGCGGGCGGTACTACCGAGGGCCATGCCATTGATATTAGCATCATCCATGGGGTTGGGTAGGGTCACTTGGGCTGGGGTGACGGTGGGTGGGGGTGGGATTGTCGATGGCGTTGCGTTTGACATGGAAGCGAGAGCCATCATCATGTAGGCATGCGGATCGATGTTGGAAGTGGCGATGGGTGTGAATGGTGTCGAAGGCGCATAGTGCTCGAGGTTGGCCATGGCGGCGTCCTGGGTCCGCTGGCATGTGTCGAGTTGGCCATCTTTGGCAGTCGTAGGCGCGGGCGCGGGCGGGTTTGCGCTGGGCTGTGTGATGATGGGAGTCTGGGGTGCTGCTGCGGCATCCCCCGTACCATTATGTGCGTTGCTTGCGGCGGAAGCATTCGTTGTAGGGGTGGTTGGTCGCTTTGTCGGGGTCGAAGGGCCGTTGGCAGTGTCCTTCCGCGTTGGCGCGGAGGAGGTCGGCGCAGTGGAAACCTCGGCCGCATCAACGGGGGTATCGGGGGCAACGGGCCGTGTCGATTCGGTGGTCCTGGATGCCGTTGCGGAGTGATGCGGCGGCAGAGAATGAGTGGCGGCAGCGACGGCGACGTCGGGGAGGCCCTGGTGGCCTACGCTCAACGAAGTCATCGCTGCTACTTGCGGACAGCTCCTTCGCCCTCGGTGCCGGGGGAAGCGGGTTGAAGGCACTGGCGCGTGGCGACAGCTGGGAAGAAGAAAAATCGAGTTGGAGAATGGGGTTCTCAGAAAGGCTCTGCAGCCTGCGCAGGTGGTTGGGCGGTTGTCCGTTGACGAAAGTCGTCGTCGGTTTGTTGACTTGTCAACCTTGGGCAAAAGAATTTGGCAGGCGCGGGCGATACGTCGGGATCTGGTTTGAAGGTCGCAGGCGGGAGCGCAGGAACAGACGGTGGAGTGACGCGTTGTGATTGGCTGCATTTCAACTCCACTGTATGACTCCCACTGCTAGAGCGCCATTGTAGTTAACTTGGACCACTAATACTGGTCATAAAGCATGCTGCAAGCCAACGAACCTTGTAAGGCCTGTCGGTACATTCAGCGACAGTGCTTGGGGATTGTTTGATTGCTGCTATCCCGCGTAACTGTTGGGCGATTTGACGAACCCGCCAATATCTTGTTAAGTAACATTTGGAAGAGCTCTCAATATTACTTGTCCGCTCCGCCTCCAGATGCCATTCTTCGCCAGACCTGCCTCTAAAACGATTTGCAAATGACCGACGTATTCCTACTTCCAGTCCAAGATAGTTTTGCCCACCTTTCTTAGTAGTGGACTATCAAGGGCCGCGGCCACGCGGAAGCATGGCGTAGCGGGGGAAAGTCGATCGGCTGCGGCCGCAATGGCGTAAACAGCACCATGTGCCATGCCCATGGCCCAATTCTTTGCTGCCTTGGGCTTTCGATGAATCATTTCACATACCTTGAAATAATATCTTCTTCTTTTCTCTTCTTTTTTCGAACAGGACCCCATGTGCCTTCCGAATTTTGAGTCCGCGTGCTGCGCTGGACCGATTCCCACTCAACAATATCCAGCATCTCTCAAATGTTGTTCTACTTACCCTACAACCTCAAGCATAATTGTTATAATAAAAAGAAAAACAAGACAAATCCATTGCATTTCTAATCGATTAGGAAACGTCTCAACGCTCTGCAATGCACGATCCCAATCTCGTACTACATACAAACCAGCCACCATTCGACGACAGCCGACAGCCCCTACCGCACACAGGCGGCATCCACTGCTGCACATGTGAATGAATGAATAAGGCCAAATGTGCATGGCCCATCATTCCTGTCGGGAACGAAAGAGATGATCCATCCTAGTACGTTCGTAAACCCTCTGTGTTGGGTGCAGTTTGTCAGCCAGTGACCAGTCCACGCTGCCGGGCGCTTAACGCAACACCAAGTCAAGTCTCCTCGTCCACTCGTTTTCACCACCAGCGCGATATGGAACAGTACCACGTCTTTGACCTCCCCTAATCAAAGAAAAAACTCCCACCCATCTTAGAAGATAATTATTGTGACCTATCTGGTTAGAGAAGAACAAGATAGACGCTCGCAATGTATCATAAAGCCCAGCACCCCGCTCAGCTCACCCTCACTTTCTCTACACCTTCATCATTGAATACGGACTGCCTACTGCCCATTTCTACTTTCCCTTTGTCGTTTCATTCTCTTTTGTCCATTTTATTCTTAATCTAGCCTGTTTCCTGCGTTTCCTCATTCGACCTTCTCCATATTCTCTCTCTCTCTCTCTCTCTCTCTCTCTCTTGCTGATAACTTGCCATTGTTAAACACCAATCCTTCCTTACCCGGCCGCACATCATGAACCCCAAGGAGACATGGGCAAACATCCGCCTACCCACCAAATTACGCCCCAAGGAACTCGACCAAGCCACTCGATTCCACTCCCGCTACGTACGAATGCTGCTCGACCAGGACAACGTCTCCACAACAGACAACATCCTCGCCGCCTTCTTCGTCTGGTTGCTGCTGGCCAGCTTCATCGCGTTCCCCGGCACCTTCACCACCATAAAGAAGTCTATCGAGGACGGCGACAGTGGGAACATCGCCAACAAGGCTGCCGATACCTTGCTTAAGAGTGTCAGGAACATACCGCTCCTAGCGCTGGCCGCCATCATGTGCTCCGCCTCTGTCCTTGGCATGATCATCCTGTCCTTTCGCCACAAGAACAACTACATCTGGGTTCTGAATAAGCTCTTCCTTCCGGGCTTCGCCAATTGTACAGCCGGTCTTATCTCGACTTTGATCGGTGTCTATGCGCAGCAAAAGGGCGTCTGGAGCACTCCCGCCAAGGTCACCGCGAGCGTGGAAGGCTGCCTCGGGGCAGTCTGGGCCGGGATCTGGTTCGGGGTCGATCGCTTCCTTCTGAAAAAGATCAAGGAAGAACATCATTCGCACTATGGCGAGTGGGCCAAGGAACCCTAAGCGACCAGTACGAACAACTACCACGGTCATATGGTTTAGAATAGACACATTTAGAGGGTTCACCGCTAAATATATCCGCAACTGCTCAGGTAGCACTTGCACCATAGACTCAAGCCTTTAATACAACTCTATCGCAGCAGCGGATCGCGTTCACTAGCCCCTGCAACCTGATTCACCTTGCGAATGAACCGGTCAGACAAGCGGAATGCCCAGTGGCATAGCATCCCCGCAACAAATCCGACAGCATCGTTCTTGAAAGCCAGAATACCAGCAGTGGTCATGAGCATGACAGTCCAGCGCTCCATCCGCTCCTCCTCAGAAGGATTGCGCAGCTTTCGTGTGATGACAGACACGCCTGTGCTACGATCGGAAGACTCTTGCCACAGATCGCGGGCACCTTGGTTGAGTGAGTGTCCAACCTTGGCCAGCTCCAGACCGGCAGCAAGAACCATGATGCCTAACAGGCTCTTTGGGTACTGGCCCAAAAGACTGATCAGCGTGCTTCCGAAAAAGAGGCCTAGGATTATCTTGACGGTTCCCAGAAAAATAACGCTTGCGCCGCTGCGGGCACCAAACCGATACTGAGCCGCCAAACCACCAGATCCATGGCAGACCGGCATGGCACCGAACCAGGTACATGTCAGGTTCATCAAGGCAACGCTAAGTCCGATAGATGTCACGGAGGGGGTAGGAACATCTGGTAGCAGATCGGCAGCTAGTGCTGTCACTGCAATAATCGAGTTCAGAGTCGTAAGTGGCAGCTGGCCGATTGCCATGTATATGGGGGACGCGTCTGGGTGGCCAATGAAGGTTGGCATAACAAACTCGGGGTGCCAGATCCTGAACCAAGGCAGATCCTGATGTGTTCTGATAACCTGAATGAGAGCAAGCACTATGCCCAAGAGAAAGAACGCCAGCGCGTAAGGGAAGCGTTGCAGCCGCTGTGTAGCGATGAGGACGAGAAAGGCAAAGAGGGCCCAGAGACGATTGTCGAGGATCGGGAGCAGCCACCCTAGTGGTTGCAGCTGCGAGGAGCCGGCGCCGATGATGAGTGAGAGGCCGGCGCCGAGCTGGATACCCTTGACGACGGGGATCGGGACGACTTTGACGGCCCAGCGCAACAAGCCGGTTACGGACATGACAAAGATGGCGGCGCCGACCCAGAGCCCGGCGCCAGCGACGCCAGGCATGGACGGGTCGCCGCGGTGCGCGATGGCCGCCGACGCAATTGCCTGTAATCGTTAGCAGGGGGGGCGGCAGGCGCTGGAGATGTGCCGTCGGTGGTGAGCGCACCTTCATGGGCTGCACGGGCAGCGGGATGCCAAAGACGACGCCGGAGATGATGTTGAAGGCGCCGGAGAAGACGAGCGTCGCGTCGAGATGGATGGAGCCCTGGATGGCGAGGGCGATCATGAGCGGCAGCAGCGTGCCCAGGTCGCCGAGCGAGCCCGATATCTCCGCCAGAGGGGCATTGCGAAAGGTGTTGACGTTGTGGCGGTTGCGCTTCTTGAGATGGGACAGGATGGAATTCATTCTTAAAAAGAGCCGCGCGGTCACTCTGAGCATGCGACTTGGGGTCAGAGAAAGACTTGAAGCCGCTGCGCGTAGATGGGAGCGAGCGGGGGAAATAAAGTGAGGCTGCGTCAGTCGGGAGGAGGATCAGCAATGCATGTCGATGGGGAGTTTGATGTGTGCTGTGACTGAGGTTGCTCGCTGTTGTCTGCCCCACGTCAGCTGCGGCCGAGCGACGTCACTTCTTGGGGATTTTTGGAGCTCGCCGATGGCCGCCTCAGAAGCCAGCGAGGCAGCATCTGGGTCATGACAGCAATATTTGGAGATTGTAAGGTTTGCGAAAAGAAGAGAGGTCGAAAACAATATCAAGAGTCCCAATGAACCAGAGCACCGGATGAGGCGGTGGTTACGGACTCCAAAATTGTACATGGGCAATGACTGGCCCGCTCGGAGGAGCCGCCTGCCTAGTTATCATTCATTTATTACCATAAACACGAATGGCCGAGTGGAAACGGATGAAATAATTTTTGGAGACTCAAATCACGGAACAACGCCGCGTTCTCGACCGCTGGGGCCGTGTCGGAATGGAATGTGCTTGAATTATGCCGGGTAGCACTAGCCATGACCAGGGTCCGGGCCGGGGCGACAAGGAAAAGAACAATAGGGCGAGTGCAGGTCAGTAAGTCCATGACTTGACTTGGGTCGGCCATATCGGCTCCGGCGAATTGCCCTGCCGGGTGATGGGATTTTGCATCTCTTGATGGAGTAGGACCCGGTTTGTCCTGCCGTCATCCGGACAATACAAGATAAGTAGCGAACAGTAGGTAGTTTTGGGCGATTGAATAAGCTAGGGATATTTTTCTAAGCAAGCTTCCTACGGAGCACTCTTTCTGTGATGGATAAACCCTTGTATTTGTTTTTTTTATTATTTCATCGCATCTGGGCGATTTCTTTGCCACCTTCCCGCCGGGGAAGCTGGAGAACTGGTTGTAGCAATAGTAATTGAAATGAGCCGCCAGAGCCGTTGCGATATTATTAACATGGGCGATCAACAACAAAGACTGGAGCGTCTGGCTAGGAACAACACCGCAACGGGTGTAAGCGGAAACAGCGCGGCCATCCATCAGGCCTGGTGTAAGAAAACTGGACCACCTCGAGCGATTTTGGTCGCGCGCTCTTTGAGACGAGAACTCGATTATTTTACAAGCCATTTGACGGGCTACTAGGGTCTTGTTATTCTGCCTTCTCCACCCATCCTGTTGACACCACCTGTAGTAATGGGTCGGCGACTGATCAAGACGCGAGCCGCTTCGGATATTCCAGTGGAGATAGGCTCCGAAAAAACGCAGACAAACACTGGGACGCCCATTCTACTATCCTGGGGCGCTCCGGCCATTCTCCATGGACAAGTCGTCAGCGGTCGCGAAAGCAGCCTCTGCTCGGTAAGGTGTTGGCTCCTACCCCAGCGGCCAAGCTGGCGAGACCAACCCCCAGGCACTAAGAAATGCATGCGTAATGCCAATACCAATGAGTCGCGTTTTTTTGCTGTGGTCCTCCAGTTGTCTCTTGCTGGGAGCTGGGCGCTCTCGTCGTAAGGCTCTCCAGCAGGGGTCTGAGCCCCGAGTGTTTCCACTGGAGAAACGCCGGCAAGTCCGCGGGGAAGGAAGAAAAACAATGGGCAACTTGATAGCAGGGGGTACTTCTGGGGGCTCTCTTCGTTAATCACGCATGTTGCGATTCATGTCGGAAGCTCCGTGTTATGGTGGCGCGACAGGGGACTTGGGTTTCCAAAGATCCGGATAATCGAGCATGAAGAAGGGCTGACCGGGCGGCTTTTGTTCTACAGCCTGCTTGCCGGCGTCGCTGCTCGCATGACGATTCTTATTGTAGTGATGTTAGCAAGGCATTTGCGAGGTACCTGTGAATGCCCTAACTACCTTGCCCTGCCGCCTGGTCTACTGAAATTCGCGCAGCACTTTGTTAGTATGAAGTTACCCCAGCCAGCCCACCACAGCGAGGTGAGGCGCGCCGATTCATTAGGTAGCACACAAATGACACCGAGGCGAAACCCCATTGTTGCTGCCAGTGCCCGTGCCCCAGTGCGGTCGCGCAAAAAGCTGGAGTTGTTTCTTGTCTCAATCCATTGTGCGACTTGTCTTGTCTCTGCGAAGCTTATTCCAGGAATGGCGTAGCACTCAGAATGAAGTGGGCAATTTGGAACACGTGTGTTTACATGCGGAAAGGCTGCCAAATCAATGGGTAGCTACCGACTGACTTCTAACGATCAACTTTGTCTGCGCATGGAAGGAAAAGAAAGAAAAATGGAAGTGGGATGTAGCCATTTCAGGGTGCAACCTGCAGCCTCATGCCTGCCGCCCGTAGTAACGTCGATGCCGCAGTTCCGAGAAGGCGGCGTTCCCGCTGTAATCGACGAAGAAGAAAAAAAATCACTCCTGGTTTACCAAAAAAAAAAAGCCCCTGACGCCACTGTACCACTGTACGGGCCGCTAATTACTCTTTCGGTGCCGAAGCGTCTTCGCCGTCTTTGGTCCAGACGCCTTTTTTTTCTGGTTCCTCGCTGCCGCTCCGCCCGATTGTGCCGTACTGGCTTGGCTACTGGGTCGGGGTTTCTTCCAATTCCCTTCTCGTCCTGTTCGCCTCTATCGTGGGAGGCGCAGTGGCCTTGGAAAGGTCAACCGGGCGGCCACCAAAAGACTTGGCTTTGGGGTTGATGAGGCACTTTCGGTGTCATGTTGTATTAGTAGGAACCCTGGTCCCTGATTATCGAGGGACGACAGGGGAGGGAAAGAAAGAGGTCATAACTCATCAGTCATCGTCGCAGGTACATGCAGCATTTGACCCTCGGACAATCCCCAGGGCAGACGGCTTACCTCATGTCTGATAGACTACTTACTGTTACTGCAGCGAGGAGGACAACAGAGAAGACACGAGACAAGTGGCCAATAGATGGGTAATTTTTTTTTTATAGAATTCGAGTCCAAAAATGACGAATCAACTCTCCATCTAATAGGCAAATTTTAAAAGAAGAGTTGTAGTGCATACCTTTGCGCCCGGCCAAAGTACAAGGCCCAGGTCCAGCGACGCCAAACCACGATCGGTTGTCCGTGACGTGAGGCCCCGCTTTTCGCTCTTCGCTGCAGTGCGCCCATGGAGCAAGCCCCATGCCTTGCCATGGAGCTGCTAACAATCAACAAAATCATCCTCCAGTCCGCTTACGCGCTTCCACCTAATTTGTCGCTTCTCCATCCTCCTTTTGCTCCCAGCCGAAAAAAAATCTCTCGTCCCCCAAAGGTAAGGCACAAGTCAATCCTCAATTGCTGCTTTTCGCTTCTGGTCGTCTAGAGGAGTCCAATTGTCCCCAATTCACGCCGTCGCATCATCATACACACAAAATCGCTCTCGGCAATTGCCCTCTGCGCGGTCAAGAGCGAGCAACAGCGCAAAACACCACCCGACGACAACTCCCCAGCCCAGCAAATTCAACGCTCACAGCGACGCGCGCGATTCAATTGGGCCAATCTCGTCCTCAACCTGAATGTGAAGTTGCGGTTTTGAGGGAGTTGCGATTACATCTCAATTGGCTTCGCTACTCGTCCTGCCTGCCACCTGTTATGCTAGCCCAATGGAGGATTGAGGTCTTTTCTGCACCCAAACCACGAATGCTGACACCCTTTGGCTTCTAGACCGACTTCATTTCCTCCCACTTCTTCCGCTCTCTCTCATCTCATCACAATGGCCGCCATCACCACCCACCCCGGCCTCGTCATGCACGAGATTGCCAAGCGCTCCAAGAGCTGGCCCGCCAAGAACGTCGGTGTCATGGTCGTCTTCTGCATCGTCTTTGTCGGTGCGTAAACCAAAACCAAAACCCTCGGCTCTCCCATCCCGTCAATTTTGTTACAGTTGGATGGTCAACCCGTAGAGTCGTTCTCCGTTCTTTTGTGCTAACCCGGGCTGACAGTCGCCGTCGCTCTGCTCGCCATCTTCGTGAGCAAGTGCCTCAAGCGCCGCAGGGAGGCCAAGCCCGAGCTGTAAATTACCCCCTCATGATACGAGAGTGAAGGCTGTTGGGAGGATCGGGGGGAGGTAATTTTTTTTTTCGATTGTTTGGGATGAGGACGGAATGACAGTACTGTGGACGAATTGGCAAGCATCATCGCTTTACGCGGCAGAGAGCGGCAGGCCCCAACACCCAAGACTCCTCTCTCACGCCCTGTCGCCTTCAACGTCGCTCTCTCTCGACTCTCTTCTGCATTTAACGAATTAAACGAGACAACAGGCCTGCAATTCACGCGCCTCAGATTCCGACCTCTTCTTGTTCTTCGCCGCCCTCCTTGCTCTCTCAGTGAGTCCCCCAGGGGCTGCACCGTGGATTGTGGGACTACTGCAGGAGTCGGTGCTGGTTAACAAAAAATAGAGCATGTTTGATTTGGAGTATTTGTCGGGTTAAGTTTTGTTTGGTTTGTTTGTATGTTGGGAGACTTGGACAGCGATGCAGTGTTGCCCCGAGTGCGATGTTTGTCAAATCTTATCAGACTGATGTATTCTATATTTCTAATACTACTGATACCTCTTTTGCACGCTTTTAGTCTTCTTCCTGGTCTACACTCGCCGACTAGCGATGCCTTTTGAAGCGGCTTTGGTATGACTTCTGTCTATCTATATCTATTCAACCCCAGCCTATATAACACAAAACATCAACGCCCCGACCTATAAAACACAAACATCAACGCCAAGACGCCGATTTCCCCCCGCATCATTCCACACGAAGCGCCCGCCCGCCTCCTTTTTTTTTTTTTTTTTTTTATGTCCATGTAAAACGCCACCGCGTTGAACGTCCTCTTCCGTCCAACCATCGCGCGCAGCGCCCAGCGCATCCTGTTCGACCAGTTGATCAGGTCCGCGTGGCCGACCCCCACCAGCGTGCCCCTGTACTCGCCCCAGCGGCTGCTCGCCACGCTCACCAGCCCGTCGTTGGCGCCCTCGGCCGCCGCCACCACCGCGTGCGGCAGCCGGAACACGCTGAACGGCGACAGCGGCGCCGCGTCCGCGCCGTACGAAAAGTACCGCACGCCGGGAGCGTCCGGCGTCGCCGGGTTGAACACATCGCGCGCGTACGCGGTGGTCAGCTGCGCAAAGGCCTCGGTGCCGAGGCCCGCGCGCGTGAGCAGGCCGTAGAGGCGCGGGAGGTGCAAGGGGAAGAAGCGCGAGGACGGGTCGAGGAGGAAGTCGGCGGCGGGGCTGCCGCGGTGCGGCGTGGCGATGGTGGTGAGGGAGGCGACGCGTACGGTAGGCGGTGCGGACGGGAGGAGCCGCGAGATCATGTAGCGCGCGTCGAGGCCGCCCATGCTGTGCGCGATGATGTTGACGGGCGGCGGTGGCGAGGAGGAGGAGGAGGAGGAGGGGGGGGAGGATGCCTGCTGTGCGGCGGCGATGCCGGCGGCGAGGGCGGCGGCCCGCTCGGCGATGGAGCTCGACGGCGGCACTGAAGTCGCAATGACGGTCGCGCCGCTGGTGCGAAGCGCATCCTGTATACCGTGCCAGTACCGCACCGCGGGGAGCAGTCGCGGGGCGAGGCGCAGCTCCGAGAAGCCAAAGAGGCCGTGGGCGAGCACGATGGGGTTTTTGGGCGTAGCTGTCAGCAGAATTAGCTCGGTCTTTTCTCCCTTCTCTTCTTCTATTGCCTGTCCCTTCAAGACTCTAGAATGGAGGTTAACAGTATTTTCCACGTACCATAGTGCTCGCGCAATTGCGCAAAGTCGTCGATAATTTCTCTCCCAACGCCCGGTATGCGCCGGTCCTTGGCGACGCGCGGAGAAGTGCAGAACCGGCGGGGGTGGTGCGGCAACAAAGACAGTGGCCGCTGGACAAGGACACGCCGATTCATTGCCGACTTTCCCGCAGGCAATTCACGGAAATGGGTGGTTTGCTACAGGCGGTCCCTTCGCCGCGCAATCGCGCGAAACTGTGGTTGAACAGAAATGTGTCAAGGATGGGTCGTGCGCCAAGTGGTGTGGTTGCATGTGCTTGTTGTGCCTGACGTCACTGTTGCGCCAGGTTTGACAGCTGCCAGCACAGCATGGCACCTGCATATACATATCACAGCTAGGTAAAACTTCGTAGGACGGTTCTTATTTTCTGTCTGCCATTGCCTGAAATGGGTATCTTTTAATATTAGTCGAATCTATGCATGTATGTATGCTTTTTCCAAGCCCAACTCCCTAAATCCTTCCGCGCTTCGAGCTCATGTTAGTTCTTCCGCGGTGGCAACTGGCTCGGCGCATTCTCTGCCGTCACTCCGCTAAACGGCGGGCGCGGATTATTTTGATCAAACGGCATGGAAGCACTTTCGGCCATTGCTTCGCTATAGCTAGGCGGCGCATCTTCATATTCCTCCGGCTGCGCAGCTTGCGGTGGCGGCACCGATTCGCTAGGTCGGCGCAGTGGCAGCGGCGGTGCCTGCTGCGCCGCTGAGCCGCTTGGGCCAGAGATAGAGTGGCGAGGAGGTAGTTGAGGGTGCAACTCGCTTTGTGAGAAGGCTCCGTTCGTGGCTGCCTTTACGAGCTCTCTGGGTGGTTCGATGCCAGAGAACACCTCCGCTGTTGCGAAATGAAGCGGAAGCGTTATTGATTCAGGAATGATCTTACTGCTTTTCTTCCCTAATCGCAGAGTAACAAGAACTTGAATCTCGTAGCGCCGGCTTATATTGCATGTAGTAAACGATGGTGCCACAGTATTCGGAAGGGGCCTCTGGCTCCAATACTCGTCTGGCACGATGATTTCTGTACCAACTTCGCCGGTGGGTGTGATGAGCGGCACCTCAAGCTGAGGGTTTGATGCGATGATCCAGCGATTGCTCTTCTGTAATACTTGTCCGTGTGCAGATAATGTCGTTGTTCCAATCAGATCCATCTGGAAAGAGGTAAGGTACACCTGCTGTGGGTTGTTGACGAGCTTCTTCGCAATTAACCGTAGTGGGACAGGTCGATTGCAAGTCAAAACCAATGGATGGGGCAGACGAGCGGACAGCTCTACTGACTGAGGTGGAGGTGGCATATCTGCTGGGGAGTCTGTTTGGTTCTTTTCTTTAGAGCTCTTCATGCCGAACAAAGAGCCCTTTTGCTTTCCCTGTGGTGACGAGGGCCGCGTAGCAAAGCTGAATGGCCTGCGCGCGAAGGTCTCTTGGCCACGGGGAGGTGACCTTGGTGGCTCTATGGGCATGAATTTGAATCCTAGCTGGAAGCGCCAGTTCTCCTTCAAGATGCCCGGTCGCTGCACCGTGACCTTGATATAGTACCGTATCTCGGCATCGTTGTATACACCAGACAAGGACGGCGGTAGAGTCTTGGTAACATGCCTAAGGTAGAGCTGTCTTGTGCCGTCCATGAGGCGAATGCCACGTGAGCCAAAAATTCCGGCGCCGGACAGGCTCTGGTTCGCAAGCGACGCCATAGCATGAGAGTCGCTGCAGGCGTTATTTATAGGCATCTTAAACCTGAACGGGAAGTGATGCTGCCCGGGCGGCAGTGGAAATGACCCGAAAGGGTTGTTTGCGCTGCTATGGTAGTCGTCTGGGAATACCTGCTGCACCTTGTATAAAATCTTGTGGCTCTCCGTGTTGATGGCGGCGTTGGGCGTGGTGTAGCCATCTCGGTTGTCGCGGCCGTTTTCGAACGGCGAAGGCGGCTGTAAGCTCGTGTTGGACTCGCCCTCGAGCTTAACGACGATGTTGCCTATTTGCTCGTGACGGTTTAAATGCAAAACAACGTGCCCGCTGATGATGTCGAGGTTCGTGAAGAACTCGGGCTGGTTGTCGAGGCTGATGCGCATCGTCATGGTGGCGGGTTAGGCGCCGAGGGGTGGCGTATGCTGTTCGCGGGGAGCTGGCGCTAGATTGAGGCAGGCGGGATCAGGAAATCGAATGTCAAAGAGGAACTTCCTTGCCTGGCTATATGGAGGCAAAGCTCATGCTGGTAGGATGGCGAGTGGGCAAGGTCGGCGAGCGTGGTAGATAAGCAAACGCAATGCGGGATTCGCGGGGAGTGCGACGTATTACTGGCAATTGTTAGGTTAGTATGTACATAAGTAGGTTGTGCCAGCTTGGCAACGCAATTGGGTAGGCGGTCTGCCCTGTGAGTGGTGAGTGCCACTTGCGGCGCATCATGATCGCCTGAAAGAACGCGGGCCACCAAGAGCCACCCACCGAGGGCCACGCAAGACGGGTGGCTAATTAGTGGGCTGATGGAGATTACCAGCAACGACGACGACATGAGGCGCAGTTTTCCAGAGGGATGAAAATAGATGGCGGTCTCGTTTAGTACCTCTCAAGCCGAAAAGAGCTGTCCTCTTCAGAATTCTGCCTCGCTGACGAATGGCACTTTTTGTGACTTGTTTTGGGATGAACAGCAGATCGTGGGGCAAACCGTTGGGGCGCGCGCCTCCCTCTGTCATGGGTATATTTCGACGGCTATAACACGGGATATCAACAAGGCTAATAATAAGCGATATGTGTTCAGTGGCTGATTTTCCTTAGGCAAGGAGCGTTCGCTGTGCGAAGTTGACCGCGACCCCTGCCTCCATGCTGATTACTCGTGCTTCGCTCAGTCGGTCAAAGACCAATCAAGCAAACATGGCACAGTTTGCTAGCAAATGCGCTCAGTAGCATACCTGATGCTCTCGTCGCTCACTTTTCTTTGCGCCCCAGTGCACAATGGCAGCTCAAAGTTGGCAGTATGCTGGCGAGAGCAAGTTGAGAGAAGGACGCGGCGACGTCGTAAACATAACGAATATCGTCAAACCTTTGGTACCGGCCGTGGCCATTTGCGGCCTATCACAGCATTCTGGGTTGCCTGTGACGATTCCATTTACCAGCAAGGCGGACTCGATAGGAGTCAGAGTGGCAATGACATCCTGGGAGACGACCATGCGACCTCTTCTCTTTGTCACAAGCCATTCCAAATGCCCTGGGCATGTCTCGCCGATGCAGGCAGCCGCCCTCGTTTTTGGCACAACCCCCTTTCGCCTCTGGGATCTGCAAGACAAGGGCGTCCGCTGAGCGGTTACCTCGCAGCTCTGATTTGCTTGTCGAGAAATCGTGCGCACATGCAGCATTTATTGACCGGGATGCTCGCCTTATCAGGTTCCTTCCTATGGACTGCGCTTCTCCTCGCCCGACTGGGGGCGCGCGACCTGCATGCATATCAGCCCATTCACAGACAAACGCTCCGGGCTGTCGACGACAACGACTCTCGTCAACGCGGGGATTCCCCGCAAATTCTGTCGCGTTCGTCACATCGTATGCATCAATAGGCAGTTTTTTTGCCCGTTGGAACGGACTAGACTCTGTGTACGTCCTCGGGCGCTGCGTTGGACAGACTGCCTTCCCTGCCTTGCCACCTACCTCCAGAAAGGTGCGAAAGACAAGCTGCATGTCGCGCTCTGGATGCAGCCAGGGTGCTGTAATATCAATCACTTCCACCAACCAACAAATTTTATCTACGCGGTTTACGGCATCCCGAGTCGTAAATTCTCAGGAGAAATTCGACGCTCTAGTCTGTCGCCGTGACCAGCAGCTTCTCATCATGGTTCAACATCATATTGTATATGTCGAATCTGCGGTCCGCTGGGCATGCCGAACAGAATAACAAACTCGTCCGGTGTCTCAATTGTTCATCTGAATTGCAGGGCAGGGGGTTATGTATGTACGCCACAGCAACCATCCGTTGCTTCCCCGTGGATGCTTGCGTTGTATCCCCTCGGTTCGTCCCGGCGCCATCAATCTACGCGTATTGCTTGGACCCAACCTGCACATTGGCGGATCTCCTATCCGCTGCAAGTATCCGTAACCGGCTCTGATTCACGATCGGTATTTATTCCGTTAGGGGCTGAGTTTTTGCCCAAGTTGCTTTGGGGGCGTCGGATGTCGCCCCTCCTTCCTTGCATGCGTAGCTCCCGCCCTGGCAGTATATATAGCCCCCCTCCAAGATACGCCTCCATCCGTACAACGCATTTCAACTCTCTTGCAATACGAATCAAACTCTGAGCTCGATTCCGAGGATGGCCGGCGACTGTGGCTCGACATGTCCTGTTTCCGGTGGATTCTACTTATACGCACCTAGCATCAGTGGAAACACCACTTTCATTGCGATATATGGACTGTTAGTCCTGGCCACGCTATTTGTTGGTCGACGGCATGGCGCCCTATGGTATTCTTCTCTGTTAAGCGCGTCCCATCTGCTGCAGATACTTGCTTTCGTTGGCAGAGCGTTGCTTCACCGTGCAAGGGATTCGCAGCCATACTTTCTGATATTCCTGATGGGCACTCTCCTGGCGCCACTGTTGGCAGCAACCACCATCATTTCAGCCTTGCCCTCCGCTTCACATGTTGGGACACGGCATCAAGCCCTTTGCGGGTTATCCCGGTTACTTTTTGGGGCCCAGGGCCTGCTCGTGTTGGTGGCTGGCCTTGAGGTGGCCGGCGCCGTACTTGTATGCTACGGCCAACGGGTGCTACCCGTAAGTACATTCGACCAATATCACTACGCATGATTTGCTAACCGAAAAGAAACCAAAATCCGTCATCATAGTCATCACTGGACTTGGTGTACAAACATTTAGTCTCGTCCTCGTCTCGAGCGTCTGCGCCGTGGCACTATACCGTGGCATTACACGACCCCGCGGTCATCCTACGTCGACTCGCGATGATTCATTATTAAGAAATACTCGTAGAGGTACGCCGATTCAAAATTTCTGTGGTACACAGGCTTACCTTAAGCAGGGTTAGCAGCAGCCAGCGTGGCCATCTTGCTGCATTCGATATATCGAATCGTCGAAATGGCATTGGGCATATCCGGCACCGTATTCCAGAGCGAGACAGCTTTCATGGTAGCTAACGGAGCGTTGCCCCTCGTCTATTGCATGCTTCTATCCATCTTCGGCCCAAGGCAAGCTACCCAACCACCGTCGATTTTGAGTTCAACCGCCGCCGAAAATCGAAAGGGACGGCCGCCAGGGTTTACTTCTACAGAATGCTACCCTGCGCAGCATGGATACTCGCCACATATTGGGCTCTCAGTCTCGCCCACGTTACAAGCCTCGAATGCCGTAGAGGTACCATCAAAGTCTTCGGGGCTACCAGCCAACCCGCGACCAGCGCCGCTACAGAAATGGAGTCTGTCACCGATAACAACAAAAGAACACAATAGCAGGCCGACGTGGCCACAGAATAGCGCAAGCCATAATAGGACGGCGAAAAGAGGGAGGGCGGTGCAAGACATGGTGCAGACCGATAACTTGTGGTAGCCTCTGGCAGTCCAATGACCACCAAGCAATTTGTCCAGCTTATGAGCATTGACAAAATCCTGGATATCTTTATTCTTTACAAGTAGCCATTTATTTACATTTCTATTAATTAAAATGAAATTGTTAAAAATTTGCTTCGAAGAATTTCCACATTCTCTCCTACTTATGAACCTTGCAAAGGCATCTCTTAGGATGTATGTAGATGCCGTGGGGTTGTGCATGAGCCTATAAAGACAACATCGGCGAAACAAAAGAGGCCATGGCTTTTGTTTCAGCAAAGTTAGCTGGCAGAATTGCCCGTGGTAGAGGTATTTGCTTCCGGGGGGCGGGGGGGGCGTTCTTAGATAGTGAGTGACTCGCAACTTGGAGGCTGAACGCCAACGCCAAGTTCAAGGAGGCATTTACCCGAGGAACATAGCTAGGGCCATGGTGTAATATGAAATGGGACAAGTCTTGGTATGGCGCTTCGCCTTTTTACGAATGAAGCTCTCATGCGCTCACCGACCTCGTGCTACCATCTCGACGTCGCGTGTTCGTCGGGAGCAGGACCTGAAGCTGAACCGTCTAGTCTTGAGCTTGCCCTCAGCTGTCATCATCATGAGTCTTGGGGAGAATATTTACCAATGAATTGACAGGTATTATATTTGATGAGCTAGGGGCGGCGATTAAGCGTGAGAATGTAACGTGATTATGAGCATCCACCTGGCGAGGAGTGCTCAATTAATATTGATGAATACGACCCGCCCTGACCAGATCAGTCTTGACGCCAGTCAGGATCAGCTGTCAGTTTCAACGTAGCATGAGGGTAGCTACTGCTGGTGTTCATGTATAGCTGTTCGTTTCGAGTTCCCCTGTGAACATGAACAGGAGTGAGGAAGCCAAAAGGCGGCGCCGGGGGCGGAGCGGCGCTGAACTAAACCAGGGCCGGGAACCAGCTAGATCGGAGGTCGAGGTGTCGTTGATCCGTCTAGATGACGTGTTCGCGTGGCTTCGGGCTATAATAGCGGAAGGGAAAACAAAAAAGTATTAGTAAAAATCTTGTCTAGGATTGCTGATTCGATGGTGCTGAGAAATGCGCGACAAGTGACAGGGCCTCTGCGCCTTCAAACCCTTGTATTCCATTACTCGCCGACACCGCCGCCCACCTACACATTCCTAGATAACCACAGGCCATCGGGCCGTACGATCGATATCTCCGCTGCTGGCCCTATGCTGCGCCCCCCAATCCGGCGTACCGCGGTCGCGCTCGGTGGTCTTCAGATTTTAGGTGATTGTACCCGCGGTCCAGAGCCCACGGGGCGGCATTCGGAACCCCGTTTCATTGGTGCTGAGGGGGCCTGCAACCGAACCGGCTACCCGAAAACCAGCTCTTTCTTGCCTGTCAACTATCTGATCCTGAGATAAGCAGATATCCTTCTCACGCATGCAACTGCCGCATCAAGGGTGTGTGTTCAGAGAGGTTCATAAGCACCTTGATAATAACACGTTGCGTAGTTGGTAGCGAGGGCTGTAGGCTTATGCGCTGTGGCACATCCCCCACGTCGTTGATGGGCTTGAGTGCAAGACCGTGACTCGTTAACGCCCTATTGGGACGCGGAGGCGACTCTCTTTCGTCAGGTCGCATGCACACGCCGTGATTAATTAATCTATTCGAAGATGCTTCCTTCCAAAAGAGGGTTCGAGCCGCCCTACTGAGAAGTTAGCTGTGGGCGTTGGCGTCTTTGGTATATTGAGCTGTATTTTGATCATATGACGAGGTCAAGGTTACACAGAGCTTTGTCACTTTTTGTTTTCCATTGCACTTTTTAAAAATAAACCAAAAATAAACTAGGTTTTTACGGGGGGGAAAAGGTAAATTTTATCTTTTCCACTTAGAAAGCCATCATGAAGATGGGCGTGGGCCAGACCCAACTTACAGCGTTACATGTAGCGTGGGATGGCCATTGTAGAGCCACTGTAGCCACTGTAAGGCCTCCACTTTGCCGTGTCGACTTGAGCCGCCTAGAGTGCCGTGCCCTTTAGTTGTTTCAATGCACATGAAAATCTTGTTTGATGACGATCTGTATATGCCGGTCACCCTGTCCTTTTCTCTCCCGCCGCGCTGCTATCAATGAGGCCGCCAGGGCTTGGTGACGTGTGCTATTCCCTCGCCTGATCCTACTATTGTAACGTCGCCTAGGATTACAAACCGCCACAGGCTGCCAACAGACAGGATGAAACTAGGGGGGGACAGCACCACCAATTAATCAACCTGTCTTGTCTTTCTTTATTAAGCGGCCGTCTTTCAATGCCGAATAATAGCATTCGGTATGGAGTGGACGGCGCCGGGCGGTGTCGCAGGCCACGCCCTGGGTGTCCGCCCGGCCGCAGCTCTCTCTCTCCTGCAGCTCGAGATGGGACGTCGACCGACCGACTAACAACTGAACTGCAACACGGACACTCCACCACACTAGATGACAAAGTTTCTCGTCAGGCCTTCTTACTTTGGAAAGATACATCCGCTCGGGCACTTGCTACCAAGTATGAGCATGTATCAGGTTTCTAGAACCCCTTATCTGATGAGTTAGCATGATGCCCTTGTCGTTGGCTGCACGTCATGCTCAACCATGCGGCTCTGGCCCTGGGTCCGAGCATGTATATGGTTGGTAATGTAGCAATGCAGATTTATCAATCCGGCTCTGCTTCCCGTATAAGTGAAAGCATATCCCGGCTCTGATGCACCTCTTTGATCTATCTGGCCTCGAGTCTGATAAGCATCTTGTTTCCCGCAACTACGAGCCGTCTTATAAACTCTCGCCCCCAAGCTGGTTCTTGCTCAACTATTCTATAGCAGTTTCTACTGCGAAACACTCGCTTCGTTCATTATAGAAACCCTGCGCTCCCTCTCCTTTGTTTTGTTTTGTGACTACAGATTCGTTCCTTCCTCCTTCATCCCGGCTCACATACCCGGCAACCTACAGCATCACAACTCGACAACTTACAGTCTGCTAGTTCAGACATAGAAAATCTTCGAAGCGCCATCCCGAAATCTAATTCACAAAAAAAAAAAAAAACTCCGTGATATTTCAGAAGAACGTCCTCGGTTCATCAACCGCGAACCGCCACCATGTCGGGATACGATGATGAGCTGATGAAGAAGTTCGCGATACGACACGAGGATAATGTCCAAGCCATGGAGGGATTCACCTTTGCTACTCTAGCTCTCGGTGGCATTTTCATTCTCTTCCATCTTTCCAAAACGGCATACCGTGGATTTCGTCGCTGGCAAGGTGGCAGCCCGGGCCTGGCCCTCGTGTCGTCGCCCGTGAGGTAAATGGCCGACAAGATATCGACACGACAACTTAAGGCTAACTGGTCAGAATGATTCGACAAGTTTCGATTTACTCGGTTCCATTATTTCCCTCGGCCGGACATCTCTTTGTCGTCGTCACCTACATTGCCCTCAACGTCGTCTTCCTCTTTGCCTACATGGATAACAACAACTTCGGCTTCGTAACCAACATTGCGTCCAGGACTGGCTGGTAAGTTTTACAAAGTATTATTAGCCCTCGAAACTAACGTCTCCATCTAGGCTTGCCCTGGCCAACATGATCTTTTCCGTCTTCCTGGCGCTGAAGAATACCCCATTGGCGTTCCTGACAGCCTGGTCCTACGAACGCCTCAACATCTTGCACCGATACTCTGGCATGTTCGCTGTATTGCACATGATCATCCATGCTTGCACCTACTCGGCCTACTTTGCTGGCCAGGGAAGACCTCAGTTGCTTACCATGCAGACCAGCATTTACGGCATCATCGCTGGGTCCTCGTTTTTTCTGCTTGGACTGAGTGGCGTCGTCCTGCGTCCATGGTGGTATGAACTCTTCTACTACGTTCACATCGTCTTCTTTGTTCTTGCTATTGTCATGACCGGCATGCATCAGCCCTCGATTGTTGACGGCTTCCTCATCATTACCATTATTACTGGTGCCATGTGGGCGCTCGATAGACTCATCCGCCTCGCCAGACTTGTCTTCTACAGCGTCAACAACCATGTTACTCTGACACCACTTCCTCATGGCGGTACCCGAGTAACGCTTGCCAAGGCACCTCTCGGAGCGCTCTCTGGAAAGCATTGCTTCCTATGGATTCCTGCCATTCGCTCCTTTGAGACGCATCCTTTCACCATTTCTGCCATGAATCCTCTCGAGTTTGTTGTGACGGCGCATGATGGCTTCACAAAGGATCTGCATGATCTTGCTGTTTCCCAGCCTGGTGTCCAGTTTGGAGCATCTGTCGAGGGCAGCTACGGTACCTTTCCGAAGCCATCCAGCTTTGACCATGTTGTCCTGATTGCTGGCGGTACTGGTGCAAGTTTCACTTTCGGCGCTGCTTTCAATGCGCTAAAGCATCTGAGCGGAAGGAGGGACACCAAAATCATGTTTGTCTGGACTGTTCGTCATCGGTGTAAGTACAAATTGTCTGTCTACATTAGGTCATCGCTAACCTGAGAAGCTATCCTGAACTGGTACGCAAGCCACCTTCAGACTTTGAGCCAAGACAGCCGAGTCTCTGTCCACGTTTTCGTTACCAAGGGTAGGGAACCTACGGAACTCAGCGAATTCTCCAGGACAGACTCCGAAAAGGCGGCCCCCATGATGTCCGCTTCCTCAAGCATGGCTGGGGACGCCGAAAAGGACGTCACCACTGTCACAGGCTTGGACATGGACAGCTTCTCCGGCATCCCGATTACGTGGAAGCGTCCTGATGTGCCAGGTATGATTCGCGGCGTTGTCTCAGGGGCCACCAGAGGGCAAAGCGTTTTGGTTATGGGCTGCGGACCAAGCACTCTGATGCGGCAAGTTCGCAACACCGCGGCGGGATGCATCTGGTCAGACGGTCCTACCGTAGAACTACACTGTGAGGAGTTTGGGTGGTAAACTCGTGTTGCTACGTTTTTATTTGGTTGATCATTTATTTGTTGAGCGTTGTTTTGTCGGATCCCTCTCGAGTTATTTCATTTGTTAGACTTTTTTTTCTGGATAAAAAAATTTCATCACTTCTGTCATTAACATGAACGATCGTCGGGCTCTCATACACGCCACGTTCCGGAGCGGGATACCCGCGTGGTGCGAGTAACCAATCAACTTTTGACTTTGCCCATGTCATGAAGAAGAGGGTTGTTTCATCTAATAAGCCCCAATCCCCATCCCCGTCATCTCGACGTCGACGTCGCCCACCTCTTCTCTCCCTCCCTGTTTCTCTCTCAGCGCAGTACGCAGCAGCGCACAGAGGTCCGGGCTTATCAATCAATCAACGATCACTCCATCAAGTCCGGCCGGCCCTTGCAGATAACTGAACTGGTACCTGAAAATCTTGCCCAAGCGCGAGAGCGCCCCAGGCACCCGCGCACGGCCACAGCGGTCCGTCCGTCCAAAGAAGGATCCGAGGGTAGTATTTCAGCCTGATAGGGCACTCGATGGCCCTCAGCGCCAATGCAGTAGCATGTGATGAACGATGCTCTCGTTTCGAATGCATGATCTAGACAAAAATGATAGATTAAAAGTTATTTTTTCCGTCGCTATTTTAAGAATAGGACATACTCATGTCCAAGCACCAAAACGCCGAAGCCCCTGCCAAAGCGTCCAAGAACCCAAAGGGTATATGTACCAAAACAGACTTCCTCCAGCCAGTGCGCGCCATGGTCCCCTTGAAAATAAGAAATACCCGAATACTAAAACTCCGAGCCCGACAATATGAACCTCCCATAGCGTCAAAGGTGCAAGAACGAGACCTAGCTGGTCTCTACATGTATACATTTCTGGCCTGCGGCCTGAATCATTCCATTTGTTTCGTTTCCGCAGCCACAAGGGCCTCGCCATTATCATGGCCCCTGTTCGTTTGTTGTTTCTCTTCATCTCTTCGTGATTTCTGCAAGGGGCCTTGTGGGTCGATGAGAAGTTTGGCATCCTTAGAGAGGTCGAGGTAGCCAGAGTACACGATCATGGCGACTTGCAGGGCGACAATGACAATAAACGCTTTCTGCGCGGAGCCTCCGGTATGGATGATGCCATACATGATGAAGGGGAAGAATGCCGGGCCGGATCCTCCCATGGTGATGAAGGCTGCCGCCCGCTTCGTTCTCCGCCCCTGGCCGCGTAGGCCCATGGCGAAAATGAGAGGCCAGATAGGCCCTTCGCCAAAGAAGAAAAACATGGCCGGGATAATGATGAGGTTGGGGTTGGATGGCCGCAGAGTGACCATCAGAATCGATGATATGAAGCAGATGACGACGCAAATCGTCAATAGAGTGCGTGGCTTGGGAATCCAGCGTACTCTGACGGAGAAATAGCAGACAATGGCAGCTAGAATCCGTGAAACCGTAAAAACAGCCTGCCCACACAAGAGATAATCGGCGGTAGACAGACTGAGGCCTTGTACCTGCTGTGGATGAACTGTTGATCCGGTAGCAGCAGTAGACCTTTTCATGTGAGCATTAGCAGCCACCAGGTTGCCGAACCAAATGATGTTGCTCTCCTGCGTGGCGACATAAAGGTACTGTGCTAGTACGGCGAGGCTGAGAGTGATAGTGCGTAGCTGTAAGCCGAACCATGATTTCTTCTCGGGGTTGATGGGGATGCACTTTGTAGATTCTTCGAGCTCCTGGTCGCTCACCTCAGGGAGGGGCATGTAGTAGAAGAATAAGCCCAGAGCTGCGCAAAGCAAGGTAATGCCAAGATACGTCCACTGAACATTCACCAAGGAAAAGTTTTCGTGATCTTGTCGCTGTAGTCCAGAAAAGAAGACGCGCTGGGCGAGCAACGCACTGACGACGCTTCCTATGCCTTGGATTGTTTGCGCCAACATTAAGCGCATCTCGCCGTAGGCATGTGGGCCGCAGAGAACCATGAAAGAGTTGGCGGCGACTTCGAGAACGGAGAGGCCGAACCCGACGACGAAGCTACTGAGCATATAGCCGCCGTACGAGTTTGTCACGGCCGACGGCCAGAAAATGATGGTTCCGACGCCGTAGATGCACAGTCCCAGGATGAACGTCACTTTATAGCCACCAATATTTTCGGCTTCATTTTTTGAATGGCGTTTGGACCGATTGTGTTCATCACGTCGAAGAATCCATTCTCCAACCAACAGGGGGCCAAAAAAGTATCCGCCTCCGAAGTATGCACTGGTCAATCCAAGTGTTTCGGCGGTGGACATGCCGTTGACCTCGGCAATGGCACTGTTGAGGGTATTTAGCAGGCCATATGAGAATCCCCAGAGCATGAATAGTATTGAAACCAAGGTACCGTATTTGAAGGATTCTCTGATATTTGTCTTCAGCATACTCTTTGGCCTCCTCATATTAACGAAGCCAAAATAGACGCCGTTTTCAGAAGCGCTGCCGGTAGAACTCAAAGCGTTTGTCCTTTGCCCGGAGGGACGTAGAGAGTCAAAGTTGATCTGATCCTCTCGCATACCTGGCATAGTAATGAATTCGATTGCGCTCATCGGGCCGTCTTCGTTGGCCGGCGGTTCAGTCGCTGAGAACATGGCTGCTGGTTGCGGGATGGCAGGGCTGTTCTGCGCTGTTGCGACGCCTTGGCTATCCGTCTCGCGGTCACTAGGGCCAGTTTTGGAAGCTGTCACGGTTCCTGTGCGGTTGTAGTCATAGAGCATTGCTGGGAGAAGTCGCAGGACAAGTGGTTTGAGTGTTGGAATACAGGCGCATGCAATAATAACGTTGACCTCGACAACGCTCCACATGAGGGACAGTGAGGCATAGTAGGCGAAATCGGCATAAGCACCGAAGCGAGAGTCGCTGCTATGAGTACCCACGGAGCTAGAACCGATAGCTTGCTGGAGGTAGTAAACACGAACGACATCGACGATGGTGACAAAGATGCCGACTGCAAAGGTCAGAATCAGGATCGTCTTTTGTCGTGGGGGTAGCCGCATCCCGGTCAGAACGGGAATGGGAAGGGCGAGGATAGCGAGATCGGTAACAATGTTGACGGGGGAGGCGCAAATAAACTCTGTCAAAAGTGGGATACATTTGGCAGTTCCGCCGTAGAAGGCTTGCCAAGCGGCGTGGATGGGCAAGCATTGGAAGATGTTCATCAATGTAAGGACGGTTCCAGCGAGGTTGACAACGATGAGGGTGAACCACGAGGCATATCGCAAGACGAGCTGAGTGTTTTTTGCGAGTCGCAAGTAAAACAGTAATATGCTGGTTTTTGCGGCCATCAATGCGGGATTCTTTTGTAGTTAGTATTGTTTACATTGGTAGGTTGGGTGCGTTGGCTGCTGCAGACATACGTATAAGATGGAGAAGACATATTCGCAGCGGCGAAGTCTTGGCAGGTCGCGAATGTCAATGTCTTGATCATATTTGCCCAGTCCGTTGAAGGTGCCAAAGGCGACAGTGAAGGAGAGAAAAAAAGCAATGAGCCAAGCAAGCATCATAATTCTGTCGCCCCAGGTGATTTTCTTGACAATGAAGTATCGGCAGACCATGCGCGCAAAGACGAAGACGGAGGCAATGACGAGCGTAATGACAGTAACGGCGAAGACGGCCGGGCCACGATTGGGAACATGCCTGGCGGCAGCGCTGGTGTCGTCCATGGTGATGGTTGCGGCATGTGGGCGGCGCCCAGCGTCCTGGAGGTTTCGGTGTTTACCCGGCCTGAGGGTCGGCGCCGGGGCGGCGGAAGCTGGGAACGGCGATGTTTTTCTTTTCTGCGTCTCGTTTGAATGTGTGGTGGGCGGCGAATCGCTAACGCGCGAGTGCGCGAGAGGCCATGGCCACGAATTGCGTCTCGATTGACGATTTCAATACGCGTATGCGCTTGCACGCTCGACGATGTAGGCGATTAAAAGAGGGAAAAGGATGCAAATTTTGACCCTCGTGAGCAGAGGCTGATCAAGTCGTGCTCGCGCACCAGCGGGCAGGCGGTGATGGAAGTGGCGTTGAGAAGTCGTGGAGACGGACCCGACTTTTGGGTTAGCGCTACTCGCCTCTGAACAATAAATAACCAGCCAGCCTCGAGGATGGCGGAAAAGACGGCTATTCAAACTCGGTGCCTTGTAAAATGATGCAATTGAAGCAAAATAGAGAAAACCCCAAGCTGGTTTTGCAAGTAACCCAAGGCAGCTTTGCCAGAAGAAAAGGAAAGGGAAGGAAAAGGTGGCGCGGGGAAGGAAGTACAGTACGTAGCGGAGTCTTCGGCGCGAAGGCGTTGGAAGGCGGCCTGGACCAACAGCCGTCTCTGCAAAAGTGCATGACAAGTCAGTCGCTTGCAGGATATTATTCGCTGGGCAGAAACACTGTAGATCGCTCCACTGCGCCTAGGCTTAATCCCATCCGTCCAGTACATAATGAGTTATTAGTGCAGGCCACTGAGAGAGCTCGGACGGCACACTGTCTACCAGACCGAACCACCACCATCTCTAGCTAGAAATGATGCACACTGCATGCCATTGCAGACCGCTAAATGTCGTCACTGTCGAGCCTAGCGCGCTACTTGCAGAAGGGGCTACAGTAGGTAGGGCAGCAAGTACTTTAGTTGGTTGTCAAATAACTACCGTCCAGGTACCTACAGTATGTATGGTATGTACCTATATATGTATACGTATTAGTAAGGTAGTCAAAAGACGCTCCCGTGTAAAGAAGTAGGCCTGCAAATTCACAGAGTCAAAATAGCAACACTTTCACTCTCGGGCTCTCTCCGTTGTCTGCACGTTGAACCTCCCCTTGTATATGTACTTGTGAATATTATTGCCGCATGCATGTCATTCCCCTTGGCCGGTGCGCCCTTCAAAGTCGGAACCCACTGGCTGTATCCATTCCGTAATTATCTGTAACTTGCCGTAGGTACCGGTTCAGAAGAGTGAAGCCCCGTCTACGAGTTGCCTCCGAGACGGCAGATTCCTCCTCCGTTGCCAGTGCCTGAAGAATGCGGGAAAAAGCCATTTCAAAATTGCATTGAGTTATGCGACAGGGCAGAAGGGGAAACATTAGCCAAACTTGTTCTGCAGCCACCGTGTTAATTAACTGGTAGACATGACTAGCAATAGCAGCGCCGATTATAGACACCCCAGCAATGCATCATCGCCCGACTTGGGGCACCCATGCAGGTATGAGCTACTGCCACAAGATGGCCCTCAGGTTGTAAGGTAACGAGATAGCCAAGCCCGTATTATTAGTAGCCCGCAGAGTCCTGTGTTATATCGAATCTTACAAACCCTTTCTCCAGCACCAGCCGCACACGGAACAGACTTTGCAAGAACTTTTGCAGCCTGTTGCGCAGATTCGTGGCACTCACAACTCACAATCCCGAAAATGCGCCATTTCCCAAAGCTCCATTATAAGTACCTCCAACTAACCATACCAACTCTAGCGTCACCGCGTCGCAATACGAGTAATAACTCGTTCTTGATGCCCCAGAGACCGCTGAGACTGGAGAGAAAAGGGCCGTGTTATTAGCCGCGCAGTTGATGTACAAGCTATAGCTCTCGGTGGTTCTCGGCATTTGTACCAAGTGCAAAATCTCCAACAACTGCCTAAATTGAACAACATGCAACCTTGCTGCTACACCAAGTTGATAGCTCCTTGTACGAAGCCAATGCTGCCTAATTGGACTTTCACAGCGAATCAACTCAATGACCACTTGTTTCACTGTCAACACAAATGCAATCCCTCATAATTACAAACCCCCAACAGGCATGAACTACACTCTCAGCTACCCACTCTTGTTGCACAAATAATCAAAGAACATATTGCAGGGATAGTAGACACGGCGAGCAAAAAATACAGTTGTCGTCCCGCATTTTGCGGGACGGGGCAAAAAGCAACTGCTGACACAGCCACATGGGATGCCCAGTATGAGAATCGAACTCATGATCTTCTCATTTCACCGTATAAATACTAGTGAGACGCTATACCACTTAGCCAACCGGGCATTGGGTGCTTATTAATTTCGGTGGCGTTATTATATTTTATCAGCTCAACAAAGTTCAAGGCCCCGTCCCCAGCTTCAGATGTCTACCCACGCAGCGATGGTAATTATTGTCCACTTCAATAATGGTCATATCGCGTCTATCACGGCGCCTATCTAGATCACTTGTTGCGACTCTTGGTGTTCATGGTCGGTGATGTTTGGTTGGTGTGCTTTATTTCTCCGACCAGCCGCCACTTCCACCAATAGAGTCCTTGGAGGCTGACAACAATTCGACATTACACCATAACGGCTCGAGCATCTCGGTGTAAATGTTGTTCGCACTCCATCGTCTGACCGTTGCAGGCTTCCGGTCACTTGGATCACTTCAATGCAGCTAGCATTGCAAAACATCCACAATGCAGCCTGCCCGTCGTCAACGAGCGAGAGGTGGGTTGTTGGGGTGTGTGTATATTCTAGCGCTGCAAGTCCCGAGGAGAATCCCAGGAAAACTAGTTCAGCCAGTTTATTGATATGGAAAGGGTCAAGTGGTGGCTGCTTTTGTAAAAACGTGTCTTAGAGGGCGTATACTGTTGAAAACAGACCAAAATTGGAGGCAAGTATAATGGGTAATGGGATAATATTTCTAATAGCACCTTTTGTAAACTATCACTTATAGATCAATAGTCGGATCAGCGTACCGTGGGAGACGCTGCTTGTCATCATATCATAAGCCTATGATATGAAAGATGAGTTCGATGCTCTGCAGCTCTGGATTTGGCATTGAAGGAGGGGTGGCTACCTCATGTGCGCTTTTGCTCAACCATGCTGGGCCCAAATGGCTTAAAGAAAATGAGCAGTATCTTGCAAAGATTAAAATCAATCTACTTTTGCAAGTCTCTATGTGTCCATGCTTCCGTGACACCCGACTGCTTCTGCGCTGATGCCAGTCTCCACTTTGGTTGATAGATCTCCAAATCTCCAACCGTAAATCTGACATCTGTGTCGCTACTTCAGCATCTGCGCCAATTCGGCTCAATTGACCACCAAAACGTGCACGGCATGCAGAGAAGAAGCGAAGCGCAGGAAGCCGAGCGCTCCGCGCTTCTTGGCGACGCGGCGCGCTCCCCCGGCGGCCCGGAGAGCCCTGGCAACAGCAAGGGGGTTGACGTCCCCAATATCCCCGTCAGCCTCTGGCGAGGCATCGCCATCGGCCTCAGTCTCGGCATCCTGATATTCCTCCAAGGTAAGATGCAAGCCTGGCCTCCGCTCCATCTTTCTACGCGCGCCAAAATGCTAAACCTGGGGCCGCAGCCACAAACATGTCCGGCATGACCATGATCCAGGGCCAGGTCGCCGACGACCTTGACGCGCACGCCGCCGCCTCGTGGTTCACCGCCGCCTACCTGATCCCGCTGTCCTCGTTCGCCTCCGTCGCCGGCCGGCTGGCCACCGTCTTCTCGCCGCGCGGCCTGGTGCTGCCCGTCGGCGCGCTCTTCGCCGCCGGCGCGCTCGTCACCGCGCGCGCGACCTCCTTCGCGGCGCTCGTGCTCGGCCGCGCGCTCGCGGGGACCGGCGGCGCCGGCGTGCTCGGGCTCTGCGTCATCTTCGTGCTTGAGCTGACGACGAGGCGCCGCCGCGGGCTGTTCATCGCGCTGGTCAACACGGGCTTCACGGCGGGCGTGGCGGTCGGCGCGGTCGTGTACGGCGCGCTCCTGCCGGTAATGGGATGGGTGAGTCCTCGTCGCTGCCATGAGCTGTCTATCTGAAGTGTGCTGACGTGTTTTCTTGTTCTTTTTTTCCTGTTCAGCGTCCCATCTTCATGTGGCAAATCCCCGTGTCGCTGATTGGAGGCGTTGCTTCCTTCGTCAGCCTCCCCAGCAGCATGAAGCCGGGCGGCGGTGATCTCCTCCACAAACCAGGAACAACGAAACAGAAGCTGGCGCGCATCGACTACCTCGGAGCTTTCCTACTGGCAAGTTCATTCCCGTTCCCCACCCCAGCCGAGCAGTGCTTCACCATCGTCCTCTTCCTCTACAGCCTCGCCGCCGACGTGCACCCGCTCACCCTCGGCCTGTCGCTCGCGTCGCTTGCCGCCTTCCTCGTCGTCGAGTACCGCGTCGCCGCCGACCCAATCATCCCGCTGCCGGTGCTCTCCTCGCGCGGCGTGCTCCTCTCGTGCCTTGCCCAGCTCGGCCTCATGACCGCCCGCTGGTCGCTGCTCTTCTACGCGCCCGTCTTCGCCCTCGCCGTGCGCGGCGCCCCGCCCGCCGCCGCCGGCTCTGTCCTCGTCCCCACCAACGCGGGCTTCGCCGTCGGCGGCTTCCTCGCCGGCGCCCTGCACGTCCGCCGCGCCGGCTCCTTCTGGCTACCCTGCGTCGTCGTCACCGCCGTCTTTGGCCTCAGTCTGTTCCTGCTGGGCTTGGTCGCCTCGCCGGAAGCGTCATTAGGCCCGTTCGTCGCGGTCGTCTTCCTCAACGGCCTGGCCACGGGTGCTGCGCTCAACTACAGCCTCGCGCACGTGCTGCACCTCTCGCACAAGGACACCGAGTATGTCAGCACCAGCCTGCTCGGCACGTTTCGCGGCTTCGGGGGCAGCTTCGGCACGTCCATCGGCGGCGGCATCTTCTTTCGCTTCCTGAGCCGGGCCCTGACGGCGGGCTTCGCGGACCTTGAGGCCCGCCACGGTCGCGAGGGGCGCGGCCTGACGCCGGAGCACACGCGGCTCGTCACCAGGCTGCTCGGTGCTCCCGGTCTCGTCTATTCAGGAGACTTGAGCGATGAAGAGCAGCAGGTTGCCATCAGCGGATACAGTGGCGCCATCAGGGGGGTATGGCACGCCGCTGCATTGCTTACGGTAGCTGTTGTTGCTGTGCAAGCGGCTGCTGGATGGACAGCGCCGGGAGACCGCGACGTAGAATATAGCGTAGACGAAGAGGACCAGGCCCACGCCGCACTTTTAGAGAATGAGGGTCTCGGAGAAGCTTAGTAGACAATGGAATGAATATACATGCATTTCTCATAGTTCAGCGTTTCCATCTAATACACCCTCGATTGGTTCAAACTTGTCTGAACGATATTTTTAATAGCATCCAAATCATTATGTATTCGCCCCACCTTTTTGGTAAAATAACGCTTCGTAAGATCCCTTCCTTTTATGTTCCAAACAAATGGTAGTCTAGTGTACAACAATGTGCAAATAGCAGCACCGAGCGACTCTCGTTTATCGTGTCTCGACGCCGGATCCAGCAAGGAAGAAATCAAGCTCCCCTGTGCCGTTGTTAAAGCGTTGCTCATTCTCCGCGAGCTGCTCCAGGAGCGCCAAGAACGGGTCCTTCTCATCACCTTGGGTGCCAGTGCTTCCTGTGTTGCTCTTTGTGCTTGGACTCGGCACAGTGGCGCCACCTTGGTTCCTTTGTTGACCATTTGCGTCGATTCCGTGCCAGGTGCTCGAGCCGCTATATGCGTTCGTGGGGATGGTACCGAACATGGGGTCGTACGACAGTGTACCAGGTCCCATCATCGCTTGGCTGTCAGAGATTCCCATTGGGGCGCTAAAATTGTATGCCGGGCTGTACGACATCGAATTCATACCCGTTGAAGTGTTCACTGGGAAGGAATATCCGCCCATTCCTGCTGCGCTGGCCCCAGAGACATTAATCTGGTGTCCATCCATCGTGCTACGCATAGCGCTGAGATGATGTCCCTGGCCTTCGTGTCCATGAATGTGTGCCGAAACATGTGAGCCAACGTCCGACGCCTGTCCAGAATGTGCAGATAAAGCCCGGTTATGATAAAATTGAGCTCCTTGTGTGGTAGAATTTGGCGATTGAAGCATTGCCTCTGTTCGGCCGTGGCTCGAAGCCTCGGTGTTCTTACGCTTCAGAACTGACTGTTGGGATATACCACGCAAAACTTCTGCGGCATACGGATCGGCCATGAACGTTGTCGACACATCTCTCAAGCCAAAGCTCATGCCGTCCATTCGGCGGCCGTTTTTGTCGAATCCCCCAACATCTGAGTATCTGTCGAAGTAATTTTCGAGCTGGAAACCAGGGGTATACCTAACCGAGTTGGAGGCCAATGCCGTGACAAGTTCCTCGTGCATAACGCAAACACTTTCCAGATTCTCCCGATGCTGCTCTACGTCAGCCCAAATATATCGCAAGTCGCTAAGCATTCCCTTTGCTTTGGTCAAGAGATCTGAAGATGGCAGAAAGACGGTCATGTCGCTGTTACTTGGCGTCTTGGTGTAGTGAGTTCCGTGGACATGGATGGTAGCTGCGGTGAAGACGCAGTAACCAGTAATTCCTGGCATTTGAATCCGCCCGGTTTGCCTAGCAAGTTCTGCAAGTTCGGTGATGGCATTGGCATGTAAAAAGCACATGGTAGTCGCTTCAATCTGCCACGATTGATGCTGGCCATTTCCAGACAATTCGGCGAGCTCGATGGGGAGGAACGGGCGGTAGATGAGGCAGTAGATAAGGTGATAAAGTAATTTGCTCATGAAGAGAACGGTAGCATCGGACTGGCCAAATAGAGACTCGATGGTAGCAAAAGCATTGTTTGTCCCAGAGGCCCAAGTGTCAAGGTCTTGTCGAATCTTGGAAAGATTTGAAAGCGAATGCCAAGGAAAATGGGAGTCGCCCTTGACACCACCAGCCGCAAGGTATTTGCTTGTGATTCCAAGGATGCGACATATGTCAATAAACATCCCGCTGCTACCCTGTGACTTCTTTCCGCTTCCTTGGAAATACTGCAAGTTCGAGCCACAGTCGAAGAATTCTCCCTCAGTTGGTGCTGAGGAAGGTTTATGCGTCCAGGAGGGAAGTCTCAGAATAACAGCATCATCGCTTATTAGACCTGGACGTTTTGAGCCGCACGATAGCAGTCTATCAAGCTGGTAGCAAGTCCAGAACAGTCTCCGTCTTGTTTCACGCTCCATTTGCGTGACTTGGGATTGCGCATCCAGCTCTCTATGCAATTCAAGGCCAAGAGCCATCGAAATAGAATTGGTCAATGCCATGTATGCTTTGGCTCCCTTGCCCGCTGCGATGAATGCTAGGCAGACCAAGAGCAGTGCTTGTGTTGCTTCGACTGATAACTCGTCCACATCAATGGCTCGTCGTGCGCGGAGAGCTAAATCGAGACTCATTTGAGCAGCTGCCAAGTGGCCGTTTGCATGAGCAGTGAATCTAGACACATCAGTACAGGATGCAGCTAAAGGGACAGATCTAACAAACTTGGCCACGACAGCACAGATGGCGTCGACAAGATATTGAGGTAGCTGTTTGAGTTGTATCCGTTGACGGATCGTAGACTCGTCAACAATAAAATACGGTTTGCCATGCGCTGTCGCAAAGTATGCGTCGATGAGAGTTTCTGTCGGCACAGTAGCATTGCCGGGGGCGGATTGATCACTGCACACTCAGTTAGTCAATTACGCTCTGCATTGAGGTATTGGTCGCTCCTACGCCGAAGATGGTTGTGAATTCGAAAACTTAGGTTCGGCCGTCCCCGAGGCCGATTTTTCTGATGCGCTTGCGATACGTTTGAGTGGTGGCTCGCAGACCTCAGACGGGCCAGCTTCTTCAGAGTCGGCGCTCTGAGCTTCTGACGCCTCAACGGTTGCATCTGTGCCATCTTCTGCATTCTTTTCCTTGAGCTTAGCCTCAAGTCCGTCGACTCGCTTAAGCAGCGCCTCCAGCACATCGGTTTTCGGTCCTCGCTTCTTCGGTACGGCATCTGGACAACAGGTTGGTATTTCAGGGTGATTGCTCAAATCATGGAGGTCGACATACCATATACGCAAGGGCATTGGAATAGCTGGCATGCTTCACAGGACGGTCGCAGTCTATTACATTTAATCTGGAGGTGGCATCTTGTCAGTGGCTTGTGCGGGGTGATGTATCCCTCCTGGTATAGGCTCACCTTTCTCTTGCGACAAGATTTGCAGTTCATAGACTCTCGAGGTTCGTTTGGTTGACGGCGAGGAGGCAGTCTCTCGATACCGACTTGCGGCCGTGGAATGGCCACCCTGTTAGGCCCAGGGAACTGCGCGTCGGCCATAGGATCAACAACGGCGAGCATCCGAGCCCACAGATGCGTCAAGGTCGGACGATTGGGCTCAGGTGGGTGGTGCGCAAGACTCGTGTTGAAACGCAGCCCGGCTGCTCAAGAGAGCCAGATATGGTGTCACAAATAGACGGAGCAATGAAAGAAGGAGGGCAAGGTCTGCAAGGAGGGTTGCGAGACCAAATGACCGTCTATCGCAATTGAAAGCCCGTCGGCGGTGCGTGATCTCGGCCCCCTGTCCCTCTATGGCATGGCCGCGCCGGCAGGGTCCTCACCACCTATGTATGTAGGTGGCACGGCTGAGGGGAATGCGGCGACCGGCTCGCGCTGGGATCGAGGCGCGTGTCGCTGGGCGGCAACGACTGATGGTGTTTGAAAGATTCAGGAGACAGAATCAGCCAGGATCGGGGAGCTGGCGACAACAATGTAAAAGTAGACTAAAAGTACAGGAAAACAGCGACAAGGACAAGGTCAAGTTGAGAGAAAGAGTCAAGCTGCCAGAGGAGCCGGCAAGCCCTCCTCCATCGCGTCGCCTCATCAGCCAGGGCTAGGGATTTGGGGGGGGGGTGGACGTGGAGAAGCTACAGGGTGCTGCAGTGGGTGGAGGGACTGACTGGTTGGTGCTCTACAGGTGAGGTGTGGGCCACCGAGAGACAAGATGCTGCGGCTTGTGCCCGTCAAGATAGGTAGCGACAGCTCGAGTGCAAGACAGGTACCCTGCTTGCCTTTCCAGTCTCTAACTAAATACATGCTAGCGGTCCCTCATTGCTGTGGAATTCATGGAATAACTAGCTTCGACGGGGGCGGCGAGATGTAGAGACAAGCTTGGGTTGACGGTGTCATTCATTGTGCGACAATGTATGTATGTACTTCGTTGGGTCGAGAGGTCTGCATCCCATCACACCTGGACATCGCACAAGGTCTGGAATCAGTGCAAACACACTGTCAATGTCGCATATTCCCCGACGCGACGGAGTAACAACCACCCTAACTCCACGGAAAGGACAGGACATGGGGGTCGGGAGCCGGCCATTCCCTCCATCGACACCACCATCCGATACCGATGGGGTAGTGCAAATGCTGCCAATGTGACTACTCAAGACGGATCGAAACATCAGAACATGCCAGGAAAGGTGGCAACAAAAGCTCAGTGCTCCGCGGTGATGAGATGGGGGGCCGCCACCGGAGGCGGCTAGAGGAAGAGGTCGGGGACCACGCACTAAAAGACTCTAGCTGCTGGAGATGGCGGATGCATCGACCCTGTCAAGCATTTACTCCTTTCATTGGCACGTTTCTACTCTTTCCGCCGCCGCCTTTCGGGGACAGTCGCTCGACTGTCTACACCCTCAGTAGTTAACTCCATTGTCCGATTTGGCTAATATTAGCACCGCTGCACTGCCAATGGCCATTGAGTAAACCAAATGACAAATGACGCCCAAAGCCGCAACCTCCATTGCGCCAGTTATCCCTCCCCCACGCCGTGGGTTGGGGCCATCTCTATTAGCAGTCGGTATAGAGGCATCGCGGAGCCAAGCTTAAGCCCTTAGCCTTGTGCTCCGGATGAATCTATTTCAATTCTAGCAGGCTAGCGGAATCTACCAGAATGCACACTCTTGCGTCAGTTGTCGGGGATGTAACCGTCGATTCAACTTGACGCCGATGGGGAGAAGCCTGTCGTGGGGGTAGTCTATAAGTGGACGACGACTGGTACAAGTCTCATTGTTTTCGTAGCAAAAATCTTGTCTCAATTAGACCGCCCATCATACTACAGACTACTCAAAGTTATTACCAAATGGTGTTAGACGATATTCTAGGAAGACTTCGACGGGCCGCCTTTCTGGAGTGTTGTGTTCAGCCTCAACGCAGGGACTGTACTCCCCATGTCACGGAATTATCGCATGGTCAGCGGAATCGAGACTAACTCTCAACGCTCGCCTTGCAGTAGATCCGGAATGCAGAAAAGAATGACGGCGACGAGGGAAGGTCAGCCTCTTACCCAATTCTGGAGTCTCACCAGCATCAAGTTGCGGGCAAGCCCACACACCGTCAGCAGCCAGCCACCACAAGCACACACCAGACTCCACGCGGCTGCTTAGGAACACACCACTGTGATTCTTTTTCGTTCGTTCGAAAAGCCATCAATCTAATTTTGGCTTCATTTCTGGGATTCGATCCACTGGCGCGCGTTGACGTAGCAGTCAAGCGCGACTTGCCCTCTCGTCGTTATGCTTGATTGATGATTGTGTTGCTATGTATGTATGTAAGTATCTTATGTTTGAAGTGCGTAAAAAAGTGATCAAAATCGCATAAAACCGGCGGCGGCCCGGTTGATCATCTGCTCGGGGTTTTCTATAGCGCTACAAATATGACGAGGAATATAGGTGGCTGCTCTGGGGGCGCCTCAATCAGCCCGGCGAGCCTACCCCGCCCCCAAGGCTTCTAGATTCCCGTCCCGAGTTCTTGAGATGCATAAAAAACTTCTTCTTGTCCCATATCGAGGCCCTCCGATGTCGGTACGTTAAGAGCATCGTTAGGCATGAGGCATGGGCCGCATTTCGGAATTCCATCAAACAATGCGCAGAAATAGGAAAATCAAAAATCCAACCCAATAAAAAAGACATTTCCGCCTGCGCGCTCCCCTCTGCAATTGAATGAATCCGGGACTGCGAGTTGCGCCGCGCCGGCTCGCAGGGGGTGGCTTGCCTTCGGCTGTCGTTGGTGTGTGGCCCCCGCCAGGCGCTCGTTGTCGTCTCTCCTCCTTCACCGTTGAATTCTGACCAACCTTTGTAATTCATGATATATATTCGTGTGTGCAGAACTCCATTTCTCTCTCTATTCACTTCACCGCCGCAATTCGTACATATGTACATAAAACGCCACCGCCCATACTGTACATACTCCTTCATTGCCCGCAAGTGCCGGCTGGGTCGCTTGTCGTGGGTCTCACCACCAGGGCTAGCACCACCAAGTGGCTCACGATGCTACACTCAGAACTGTTCCCTCGTTGTCTTGACCAACGCTCCTAGACGTGCCCTTCTTCCCCTTTTCCTCGCTATACATAGTATGTGCGACTTTCATCATCCCAAGCCGCTACCAGCCTCCATGTAGTGAGACGGCTACGTGTATAGATTATGAATGCGTTGTCGGGATCGCCCTAACGGTGAGGCAGTCAGCTCTCATTCGCCCTCGCCGCGCGCGATGAGGTGTGAAAGCGCGCTCGGCCTCGCCGGGAGACATCTCTTATCTCTATACCACACCCATGGTGAATCGGCCACGTTTCGGCCAGTTTCGCAGCTTGAACGTCCATCGCCAATCGCCGCAGATGTCTTCCCATTTAGCGTCACGCTAAAGCACTAAATCATGTGGGATATCCCGTACTTGGCAGTCTCAAGCTCTGGCCCAATGGCCACAACTAAGAGCGCCACTGGCCGCATTCTGCCGCTGTCTGCCTTCTGCGGGTTTTCTTTCGTCTCGTTTGTCCATTTTGGTAATTTGTGGTTTATGGCGGTAAATTTGGTTTTCGGTTACTGCGGAGCCTAGCTTTCTGTGGCTGATCAGGGCTCTGTCTGTACTATGGCAGCCTAGGTAGTTATAGGTCCTGAGGATCGGGTAGTAGGGCGACTGACCGGGCCGGTTGGTCGACGAGTAACATCGACAATACTTCCTAGAATACATAATAAGTAAAGTACTGACTTCTGTTCAAGGCAGGTTGCCGTTCAAAAAAACGCAGTGTTGGGCGAGGAGGTATTCTGGCCGCGAATTGTTCGAAAGATAGCAGTCGAGAGTTTATTAGGTTGTGTCGGCAAGCTCCCATCGCCAACAAACAGAGCAACCTCATCGTCTCCCAGCGTACTCAATCGGGGATCTTATCATCGCACATGACTAACATTCACAAGCGAGGCCTGATTGCTCAGAATTTGTTTGTACAAAGAGTCAAATGAGAAATGAGGGCGTGTGCGCCGCCTCATGCAGTGCCCTGGAAAGAGTTGGCATGCAGGGCTTAGCTCTGAGACCTGAGGAAATTTGGTGCCGATACCCCTGCGGAATATGCCCATCCAATGGGTCGACTTTGGAGCCTTCTCTGCTTGCTAATTATGAGACGCCCGCCCGGCCTGCACTACCCTAGACGCACCTCATCCGTCACGATCAGCACTTACATACATACCTTGGGCAGTGGGACAAACTGCCGCCACGAATTGCCAGCCCTGCCCATAGCAGGCGGACTTGCAGGCAAGGCGTTCGCTAATTAGCTGGGCACATCATCGAAGCATGGGAAAACAATGAGGTTCATCGCAAGTAAAAGATTTCTCGCTCAGCTGAGCGAGGGAATAATTCCAGTCAACGATGAAATATTCTCGGGATTCTCTGCCTAAAATACACAGGTATCTATTCCAAGAGAAACTGCTCCAGCGGTTTGTGCCGGACTTGACCGCACACCGCTCCGATATGTTATTCGCATTGAACTGTTCCTGGCTTTCGCAAAACCTACGAATAATTACACAATATACGCCTCAAAGGGCAAAATGCCCATGGAGGCATTTGGTATAGCAGCAAAGCGAAGCCCAGACGCCAAATACAATCATGACCCCCCGCGGGATTAAAGACTTCTGAGGTCCAACATCTCCCGTCACCGACCCATGCTTCCTGTCACTTTCTCGCTACCGTTATGCCGGGAAGTTTAGCGAATCAGAAGATACACAATCAGCTAACTGCCGCTGGCAAGTCTCACGAAGCTGTAGGGTACATTCTGTCCCACAAGCAAGCGAATGCTCTCGACAGTCGTGAAGGCTGCACTGTCTGCAGCCCCGTATACCGCGAATCCGCTCTTCTCAGCTATCTTGACCGTTTCGATCGCTTGTCGGTCTGCGGCGTGTGCCAGGTCTAGGAACACCTTCTTGCCACTTGTCGAGACTGGGTCGGGGCCATTGCTCGCAAATGCGCGCAGAAGTAGCCTCACAGTACTGCTTTTCGCTGGCCCCAAAGCCGATACCATGACGAACGGTGTGGCGCTTTCA